TCTGCCCATTTTCTTCATGAATTATGGCAAGACTTTCAGGAAGGCATTATTCCATTTTATGGCATCTTCTTCCTTAGTTCTTCAACAAACATATAAAAGGATAAACGGGCATTGTAGAAGTAAAATTAATATGTATTGCAAAGAGAGGCACAGCAATATGACTTTATGTAGGATGATACATTTAAAAAAAAATAAATTTAAGACAAACTCAATATACATACATATAAAAAAAAAACATTTTTCTTCATAATATGCATTAGAAAACTCTTGATGATATCAGTGACACAACAAGGCCACAGAGTTCCTGCAAGCAGATATGGAATCATTCAAGTACAAATAAACTTTGTAATGTGATAAATCAAAGCATTAAAATGGAAATACACAAATCACATTTCTAATCCACTGAATTATACCCTTCATTATGGCTCAGACCAGACAGGAGAACCAATCATTCATTTTGCCCAGTTAGGTGTTAAAGCTAGAGGAGAAGAGGTAGCCTTATTTCTCTAAAAATTTTTCTAAGTAACCACTAAACTTTGATTCAGTTAAAGACAATTCAACCCCTTTCTCCTCTCCTTCCCAATCTCGTGAGGTTCTCTTTGAAGCGGTGAACTGTAGAACTGCCCAACCTAACCCCAGCAAAGTCAATGGCATGAGCTACAACACAGTCATAAGAACCGAAAGCACTCAGGTACTTACTGCTGGATCTCTGCACTACATGAGCTGCTCTGAGGCCAAAGATCTGGAAACCTGGCTATCCTATTCCAGGTGGACATTGTGGCAAGATGGAGCATGAAGTAAGTCTGTGTCTCGTAGTGGTGGCTGGTGTTATTTTGTGTTTATCTACATCATGGATTCATCACCTGAACAACAGAGGAAGAAGACTTTGTGCAAAGGGGATCCCACATAGAAGGGAAAAACGTGAGTTTCTAATGTCCCTTCAAGTCTAGTTGGAGTGTTTGACCGGTAGGAGTGTCAAAACCATTGCTTGCAGTCTCCTCATATCTGGAAAAAGGCAGTATTATTTGTTTGCATTTGTGGATCTGAATCCCCTCACTTCTTTGGCCCATGGCAAACTCTGTATAAGCCAGTGACCCCTTCTTCAGAGAAGAGACATTTCCTCCCTCTCAGACAAGACAGACTGAAACTGCAGAAGACACATAGATTCAAGCTAATTATCACTCATGGTTGGACTTCCACTATCTAGCAGGTTCTTAGAAGCATTTGGCTCCAACCTCACAGAGGGGTAACATCTCTGCAGGGTGTCTGAGCGTTTGTGTTGCTCACTTGACCTTGGAAACGTGACTTAATGACCTCTTAGCTATTTCCTAAGAGGATGAATTGGATAGAAATGGAGTATAAAGAAGTGTAGAATGGATTTCTAAGGCATGTGTGTTGTTCATAGAGGAGTGTAACACACTCTTAAAATATCATATGTTGGTTGGAATACTCTGTTTCCTTAATATGTGAAAGACTATATTTGATTCTGGCAGAGTGCGAAACCCTTGCAGGCACTTTTCAACTGACATATTTATTAGAGATAGGGGAAAATACTGTCTGGATTAGGTATGGATTTTGAAACTGAAGCACTGAAGCTGACTATATCTCATAGGTATACGGTTTGATTGAGAGAACTCATCTTTGAAAAAAAACAAGTATTTTCTGGTACTTCCTTTGTAGAAGTCTTTCCAATTGCATCTTAAGAAGACATTTGAAACTGTTTATTGTACATTGCTGTTCAATTCAATAAATGTGGTTTATTGAAAAAATAAAATTTGTAACTCAAGGAAACTGTGATACATGCTCCAGCGATATGTTAACAGAAAAACATTAGTGCATTAATAATCTTTTCCTTCTAGTATATGAAATTAATTTCTGATGCATGCACATGTTAGGCATAGTTACACAGTTCTATATCTGTATGTTTTGTATGTAGATATATGTACATGGAGATCTACACACATATGCATGTTCATGCAGCAAAAAGATTGGTTCATTTGTTTAAATGTCTAGTTTACTAGTTTGTATACTAAACTATAGGCCATTACACAGTTTGTTAACAGGACTGCAGGTGACTGTGTGAAAGGCTTCTTATTATTAATGATTATTTGAGAGATAAAATGATGAGAAATAGAAGCGCCATACGTGTCTGTGACACAAATCTGAGAGTATTTGGAGAAAAGTAACAAATACTAAGCACCCAGACCTAGTGGTATAGTTGTTCAGTATTCTTACTATGAAAAGCTCACAGGAATATTAATGTTGTCAGTCTAAAGTAACTATAAAATTGCTGTTTCCGAAGGATTTGGATTTTTAAATGTACGAGGGCTGCTCTGAAAGTAATATTCCCTACTTCATGATGTTGGCCCACGATGTCTGAGGCAGATGGTTGTATGGCAGCAGAGGCTGAACCTCGCCACCAGTACTCATTCTGTTATGTTTTGATGCCGTGTCACAGACGGCAGCAGAGGGGCACTGACAAAATGGCATCTGACATGAAGAGAGGGTGTGTCACTGAGCTCCTCCTTGCAGAAAAAATGGCACCTACCATTATATATTCATTGACTTGCTGAACATTTATGGAGACCAAACAGTGGATGTGAGCTCAGTGAGGCAATGGGTGATGCATTTCAACATTGGCAACAGTGGCAGTGGTTCACCTCCACTCGTGCAGATTTTTATGCATGTAGCATGAGGCCAGGATTTTACAATGGAAGACATTGTGCTAGAAGTTGGAAAGAAAAAGTGTCCCTCCATCTAGCTACAAAGGACTAGGGTCTAGAAATGACAAGCTTGAGGAAGAGGGTCTTTGTGTAAACTAGGATACTTATATCAGATTTCATGAAGTGACAGATGCCTTCAAACATTATTCTGATATTGCTTAAGAGCCCTAGCACAACTCTTTACCAAAAGGCAATGGTTGACAACAATAAACCATTGCATTTAAAAGGAAACTTCATCTCAGCCTGGCAACTGGCATGCAGTGGTGTATCACACCATTACCTAACATCTCTACAAACATAGTAACTGTACAAGCTGCTCCAGGAAATGGACATTTATTTATTTATTTATTTATTTATATATATATTTATTTATTTATTTAAGTATTTAAGTATTTAAGTATTTAAGTATTGAAAGATGGATTTAAAAAAGAGGAATATTGAAATTCAAACAACATACAAAGACAGAGAAATGGAGACTGGAGTAAGAGACAGAAGCAGATTATACTCTTAGTTTAATGAAGGATTTTGAAGATGTTTGGATGCAGAGCTCTGAAGTCAAATTTAATTAAAAAGACAAAAGGAGTGCTCCTGAAGTCCTTCAAAGCCCCACAATGTTCTTGAATCCACGTAGACCATGCTGGAACATGGTACACTTTCATCTCATATGTTTTGAAGAATATATTCCAGCAATTTTTATGACTGTATGACATCTACAGTCTTCTAGGCTGGCTGCCATGAACAACAAAACTCTGTATTTCTCCACACAATCCTACACACTGCAGCTCTGTGGTTTTTTTCTATCCTGTTCCTTCCAATGTGTGAATGCCATTACAACAAAACAGGTTAAAGCAGGGAGGTATGGTGGGAAAGGAAAAGTGAAGTTGAGGTGTGTATTTTCCTCAATGCATTAAAGAAGAAAGAAGATCCATGTTTGTGTTTTTGATCTGAGTAAGCAGCATTCCCTGTTCCTGCCCCTGTTGTACCAAGTGCTTTCTCCTTCTTTTTTGGGTGGTGGGTTGTGGATATCATCTATGCAGATTACAGCTCATACAACTGTAAGAAGTGTTACGTTGTACAGTACTTCCTTCCAATAAGTCAGCTGCAATTAAATGCTCACTGCAGAAAATAACAAGTGCCCGTATGGAGAAGATAACAAATTATTTAGGGAGACTGTTAAAGAACAGATTAGTGAGGATAAGATATTACCATGGAAACCCCTGCAGGTGTAGCTGCAGGCACACAGTCATCCCGGTGACTGCGCCCTTAACCAGCAATCCAGAATGCTGCTGAGCTGACAATCCAGCTTCAGTGAACTTTGCAGACTAAGTAGACAATCAGAGCTGTGCTGCTATGGGAGTAAACTCCTCTTTAAAACTGTTTTATGGTGGCCACCAACTTCAGTCTTCTGGGAAGCAGTGGAGAATTCACAGCTTCTAACAAATGGCAATATTCAGATTGCATGCCACCCTGTACTTGATGAACATGCCAATACAGGCACTTCATCCCAGACACTGCCATGCTTTCCATGCAGGTCTGTCACTGCTAATTCAGGTCTGAGCAAGCCACTATTCTCTCCTGCTGTAGGTACTTTGGAAATCTCAAATACACCTCAGGATGCAGTGGGGCGCTGATTATCTGTAGCAACATGGGTGAGCAGTCAGCAGGACGGCAAACAAAATATGTGGCTCAGAGGCAGTGAGTAGCGCCCATCAGATGTTTTTTTTCTTTCTTTCTTGGCTTCCTGTGTCTGCCCAAAAATGGGGTTTGCATAGTCTTTTGGTTGGCTTGCATTTATAGTCTTGCCCCCTTGAGCATTTGGAACTCAAGCTTTGAATCTTCAAAGGCTTCCAAGACAGCTGTAAGGGAGGAGAGGGCAGGACTGAGGGATGTGAGACCGGCATTTAACCTGACCGGATAGCCCCGTTTTGGAGGCCGGGCAGAGTTGGATCCTCCAGTTCAACGCAGACATCGTGGAGCCCAGGGCGGCTCAGCAGTGGAGAATGGAAGCAGTCACAGCCAAGGGAAGCTGCTAAACGCAAGAAAATGTTAGACACAGTCAATTCGGGAGACTTTTTTACTTCAGGAAACAGGCAGGAGGGTAGCAATAACACGGGATTGTTATTCTCAGATTGCAATACATTTCCTCTGCAACTGGCAGCCGGAAGATCAGTACCTAGCGAAAGTCCTTTCCTTTGTCACCGTGTGCAATCAACGCACTCGGCGCTCGATTGCTCAGGCCTCTCCCGGCCCGCTCGTTCGTCGGCGCGGAGCTCGATTAAGGAGGCCCTTCCAGCGGCGGGGAAACCGTGCGCCGGGGCGGCGCGCAGGCAGGGGGTGGCCCGCGGTTGCGGAGAGGCGGCGGCAGGGGGATGCTGCGCTGGCTGATCGGGGGCGGCCGGGAGCCGCAGGGCCTGGCGGAGGTACGGCGGGGCCGAGTAGGGCCGTTGGTGGGGGGACGTCTCCCTTCGGCCCCCGGGAGGGGGTTGTGGGGTGAGGTGGGGCGTGCTGCTGCGCTGAGCGGGGTGGCGCTGTGAGCCCCGCGCCGGGGCCGCGCCCGGTGGGAAGGCGCGCTGCGGGCGGTGAGGTGTTGACATGGGCGGTGTGTGGGCTGGTTCTGCGTTGTGCTCGGTGTCACTGCCCCGTCCCGGGGAATGCTGAACCGAGCCTGCCTTTAACAGGAATTAGCAGCGCTGCTGTAGGGGTTTTCACTCTTAACGCTTTCGTAACCCAGACAGGCACGAGGAAGTCATTCTTCAGCTGCTGTGCGTGTGCAAGCCGTGACAGCATCTCGTTTTGTTTCTAATGTCAGTGTTTACCACGGCGGCAGTGCCACTGACCTGTGTCATCAGCCCAGACCTCGGCTATACTGCGGTTGTATTCAGCAGGTTTGTGTGCAGGGCAGGAGTTGGTAACAGCAGTGCTGAGATGGGCTAGGCAGCTCCCCTGCTGTTTGCTCTTTTCCGGAGTTTAAACTTGAGCTACTTTCAAGGCACGCCGTACCTTGACAAGGCATAAGTGTGGTGGAGTTCTCCCATTCTGCCTTTCTTGGCTTTCATAAGCATGATCTATGGGACTTTCCTCCCATTGCGGCCACTGATATCAGTGTTCATTCCACGTGCGGAATGATGATATTTTCCCCCAGTGGAAAACTGACAAGTACTCATAAAGATGATTTCTGAAGCGTATGTTCCCCTTTGCACTATGTTGTGCTACAGAAAATATGAAGATGATCTCCATAACCATTAATTCTCTTTGTACTCGAACAGTGTAGATGAGGAAGTCCATTACAGTCAGTAGGCTTTGGGCTGGTTGCGTTTGGTTTCTTTGCGTCTGGTTACTGTGGCTTCAGTCGGTCAAGAGGCAGAAGCACTAGAGTCTGAGAGAATAGTGAAAACCTCTGGCAAAGGTTTTTAATTTTAAATTCAGGAAATATGAATGTCTCGCTAGCCATTCCATTCTTTCAATTTCACAAGGTATGATTTAGACTTGAGCTCCTGAATTTCTTATGTTGATGGCTGCAGTATGTGCCTGATAGTCCATGTAAACTATTTTATTGTCCTCCAGAGTACAGGGTAACTGCAGAATAATCTCTATATACTTTTGTATCCAGTTTTGGCAGATTGCTTTTGAACATCCCACCTTTAAGTGTTTCTAATCACAGGGATTATCAAAAAGTTGTGAAGCTGTGTTGAATGTTATTATTGCAGTGACGGTTACAGGCCCTGCGTGAAAACCTGTAAGTTGGGAATCAGTTCCATTAGGATCAGCATCTAATCTTCTCTTGTAAAAACTTGGTGTTGCTACAGGAGGGTTCAGTTAACTATTAGTTTACATCAAGCAGACTTATTTAGAGAAAAAATGCAAGTATAATCTAACACTTGAGAAGATACTGGTGAAGATCTGAAGCAAGAATGGCTTGTAGTATGGCACAACTGGAGGAAAAACTTTTTTTTTTTTTTTTTTTTGGTTGTTGTTGTTTTCTATATCACATTGCAGCACTACCTTTCAGTATTCATGGGCTTTTTTTGGTGAAGTGGAAGTAAGAAAAAATAAAATTAGGCAGGTTCAAAGGAAGTATCACTGTGTTATACTGAAGAAGAAGCGAAGACAGAATATAGAATTAGGATGTTAATGTTACAAGTCCTGGCTTTTTCAAAGCAGTGATACAATTATTTTGTGAATATCTGTTTCCGTTATTAAATAAAAGAACTGGACTCTTGACTATAGTACTACTTGTCATCAGCTCAATGCTACTGATATATTTTAGGATTTCTAAAATGCTAGATTTTTTTTTTAAAGGCATATTTTGATTTGCTTTTCATGGCCGAACTGTTAGTTTTCATATTTCTCTGACTTTTCTTTATATCTCTGAGGACTATACTTCCAATGCTTTAAATGGGAACTGCTATTCTCACATAATTGCATAAAATGAGGAACAGTTGCTTCATGAAATGCATCAGATACCACAAAACCAAGATAAAATTGCAAGAACTAGCATTTTGACAACCTCTTCATTTTAAATATAACACAGATTTCCTTCCCTTTTTATTAATTTTGTTGTTCTTAACTTGTGAAGTACCAACACAGAAATAATGGAAAATAATTGGTTGTTCCTGCAAGAAAATTGATGTTTCTGAGGATGTTTGTCTCATGTAGGTTTATCTCTCATTTATGCTACAGTGTTCAGTAATTACAGTTTTACAGTGTAGTTTCCGTGATACCTTTAAAGAATAGATAGTCCTAGAGGTAATAAAGTTAGGAAGTGGAAGAATTTTGTCACTGAGTTACTGCTTAGCAATTTATATGTCCTTGGCATTTTTAAAATTTATGTCTAATAGCAAGTTGTTCCATAATGCTGAAGACTGTAAGCACAAAGAAATTGCCTTCTATTGAACAAACTGGTGATTGGCATCAGCATAACTATCCTATTCGACTCTGCAGTCCTTATACAATGTTTTGTATAAGGCTTTGACCCTGCCATGTGATCAGCTTGCTCCAAGTGATTTATAGTGCTTTTAATTAATAGTCTTGTTGACGTAATTGTAGATGCTGTTCTATGAAGTGATTAATTGTCCTCCATGTTTTTTTTTTTAAGCTGTTGGCTTTGGTATTTTGTGAATAGAGTCACAGTGGATGAGACATGTAGATATAGATACATCATTGAAGGTGTTGTCTTTGTATATAATTTCAAAATTGAGTGGTAGGTGAAATATACGGAAGATGAAACCTCTCAGGAGGGTATGTAATTTAATGAGAGACTAAACGTATGGTGTATGTAGCTGGTGACTGAACTGGCTTTTTGTCTCGGTAGATCAGTAATAAAGCAGTACAAAATGCTTTTTTCAAACAGAACATGCTTTATTTTGATTTAAAATACATTCTCTAGAAGGATATTATCTACGTGAAGTGATAAGAAATGAGCCTTTCTGGCGATATTAATTAATTGCACATGAGGCTATAAATAGATTGTTAAATGTTACAAAAACCTGATGAAAGTAACAGCACAAAATAATTTTTTTTTTTTTTTTATGAATTTTAGAAATCATCTGTACAGACCATTGGTGAAGAACAAGTACAAAATCCTTACACTGAGCTCCTTGTGTTGAAAGGTCATCAAGATATAGTACGTTTTCTTGTACAAATAGATGATTACAGGTATGAAATTGCATCTTAAGTTGTTCTATAATGCTCTTGGGAATGCTTCAGATAATAGTTTTGAAAATGTAGAAATGTTTTCAGTTCTATTTTTGCTGGGGAAGGGTGGGAAAGCACTGGTTTTAAAAAGACATGGGGTGAACACTGTTTTATTATGTTCTTCCATTGTTTGTCTTTTTATGAAAAAAGAACAGTGAAGGAGTTATTTTCATTTCTCAAGTTCATTTATTTGAAAGAAACACCTTTAGCTAATTGAGCCCATAGTTTTCTGGGCTGAACTTTCCATTCTGTTTATGCATACACACACCTGAGACATCACGGAGTAGTGCTTCCTTTTTTTTCCTGAGTGGTCTGATGTGTTCTGTGTTCTTGATTTGAGTTTATTTGTTACATTTCACCTTTTGGTTCCACAAATGAATGTACATCTCTTACAGATCCCCTCAATATAGTAACTGAACACTATATTCTCGGTGATACTGAATGTTGCTATTCCTGGGTCAAAAGCAATGCATTTGTTGTCCTTTGTTCTGAAATTCCAGTGCTTAATTCACTTGACCTGCAATTGACAAAACTGAAATACTCAAATCCTGAAGTGTTCAGTAGTTTAATCCTATGCATAATGGCTACTAAAATTTGAAAAGGGGCTAACCACTATATTGTATATTTACTCCAAATTCCAGTTTTCAGTTTGCTGTACTTACTTGAAACCTTACAGTTCCATTATCTCTCTCATGCAGTTTTAACTGTGCATTTTTTTAATGTATTTCCTGTTATCTTTGTTCCGTTTTTATTTTTTTTAACTAGTTAAATTCCAAGGAAGGTGTCATCTAAAAAAAAATCTGATTATGAAGCAAAGGTGAAGTCACTAGCTTTACCTTTGCCTCTTTGGAAGTGTGATTAGGAGAATGAAGTATGGTCCTTTTTTCTTAGTATAAAATTAACCTTGCATGCACTCTCATTTAACCTAATCATTAAACAGAGGAATTAATTAACCGCCTTAGAATAAAGTTGTGAAGCTTTTAGTCAATAGTAACCAGAATGACTCTTATCTGTCTTGAAGAATTAAATAGAAAACCCTCAGAACTAGTTATGTTACTTAATAGTCAGGAGTCTATTTGCTGAGGAGTACTTATTGTCTTTTATGGATTGCATGCAGAGGAATCTTTCTGACGTACTGTTCAGTACAGTACACAAACAGAAACCAAGCTCTTACCTATACTTTGTCTTCACAGTGTTAAACAGGCATTTTGTGAAGGAATATTATAATATATTAATAATATATTTGCAAGGCACGTCTTTTCCCCTTAGTTCATTTTTTCCCCAACTAGATCATCTTATGTTCTGTGGGGAAGTATTGGTGATAAGTGGATGGTTGGACTGGATGATCTTGGTGATCTGTTCCAACCTTGGTGATCCTGTGACTCCAAGATGTAGAATATATATATTCCATATAATCTTCCACAGAGTGAAATATATGTTAGCTTGTCAGTTTTTGTTCTTAATTTACAACTGTTTAACAGGAAATTTCATTCATTTCCATGACATTTTTTCATTACGCTAGTTGACCAGAAGTAAAATTCATTTAAAGCTAGAAGATTGTGATTTGTTTTTCCTCAGTCCTTTCCCTTCTTTTTCAGAGAAGTTATAAATTTTCTTCAGGTTACACTTTTCTTAAAACATAGACTGAATAAAATACCAGACTGTTCTTAGGTTTCAGGCACTTTCTGAGGTAAAGAAATCTTTTATCATTTGGGCATCATTTTATGGAAGTAGGTAAATTACTGGAGTTTAAACTAATGGTGACTGGCATAAAGCTATGGGCTAGTTGGCTACATGGAAGATAGATTGTGAAATAGCATCTGGATGAGGAGTAAGTTACATAGGTGGTTAATATTCTGAGAGTTTGGGGAGTTTGATAATCGCCTCACTGAACAGTAATTCATGGGTTTTATTTATGAAAAATATTGTAGTTTCTGGGTTGTTAAACAGCTGATAATATTTTTCACTTGATTCTTTTCAGTAAAATTAGTATTGTTACTCAGCTTCTGAAATGTTTTTATTTAGTTTTCTGCTGCTATTCCATTGTGTGCTTTTTGTCAACTGTTGTAAGCCAAGTTTCACGCTTCAGATCTTTAGATAATATCATCTTATTGAGAATTTTGCAGAAGGATTTTCTTGTTTTCTCAGTGGCTCAGCTAAAACCAGTGAGTGGAAAATTTTCTCAGATTGGTTTTTGAAGATACTAAATAAATCCTGTATAAATGTAACAGAAAGCTGTTTTTTTTTTCCTTTTATCTTGTATTTTTTTGATCATGAAGTGAGGGTCGTATTGATTGGGAGATTGCTAAAGAAGGCTAAGACTCAGCAAGTGTCTTCCAAAAAATGACTGAGATAAAATTGCATGTAATACTCTAGCATTTGACACATTAAACTAAACAGAGTTCATAACACATTTTAAGAATAGCTTTCTTGGTTGCTCATTTGACCATTCCTTACCTCTTCAGGAAGCAGACAGGGTAACAGAGGATGGTGATCATGGCTGGAAAAGAATCAGGTCACCTGTGAATCTCCACCTTGGTTAACAGGATGTACTTGTAGAGTCAGCTACCCTACAGTGTACCCCTTTGCTTAAACAGAAATTCTGGTTAGATGTTGAAGACGAAAAGGTGCAAAAGAGCACTGCATTAAACTTCTGTGTTTATAAATCATGCTCAAAACTTCCTTCAAACACCAGTTTCTTTCTCAGAATTCTGTAAAGCAGCACACAGTTCCAATGTTAGTTGAGAAGCAACTGGAATTTAAAGGGATCATGCTGAAATGTGAGAGTCTGATTAAGTTCTTGACCTTGTGGCAAAACAATGTGTAATTCAGCTAAAATTACACTAAAGATGAGATATTACTGTTATTAAGGGCACACATGGAAGATTTTTTTTCACTATATTCCCTTTTAAGAAGGGATGTGATAGGATGTAATATAATAAAAGATACAAAAAAAGCGTATTTAGCACACTTTTCTTACTGTAACAGGAAAAAAAAAATGAGGGCATTTGAAAATAATTGGGGCTGAGGGAATACAGCTTTCTGCCAGAACACTTACTTTGTGAGCAGGTTTCACGGGCGATGTAACTGCAAAGTAAGAGTCCAAAAGAAAGGACTTCTTTGTAGTTAATAAAAACATTCATATCTGGCAACAGAAAAAAAAAATCAGAAGTGATATAAATTTTCTTCTTCTCTACTTTCTTGCACAGAAGTAGACATTTTAGTTCATTGAACATAGAATGGCTTGAGTTGGAAGAGATCTTAAGGCCATCAAGTTCCAACGCTCTGCCGTGGGCAAGGCTGCCACCCATCAGCCCAGGCTGCCCAGGGCCTCATCCAACCTGACCTTAAGTGCCTCCACAGATGGGGCACCACAGCTTCTTGGGCAGTCTGTTCCTGTGCCTCACCACACTGTGTAAAAAATTTCCTCCACATATCTAATCTAAATCTCCCCAGTTTAAAACTGTTTCCCCTTGTCCTATCACTATCTTTCCATGTAAAAAGCCTGCCTCCTTCCTGTTTAGATGCTCCTTTTAAAAACTAGAAGATCACGGTGAGGTCTCCCTGGAGCTTTCTCCAAGCTAAACAAGCCCAGCTCCCTCAACATTTTGTAATAAGAGGTGTTCAGTCATTTTCATGGCCCTCCTCTGGAATTGCTCCAACAGGTTCACATCCTTCCTCTACTGGGCTTTGTACATGGTACTGCAGATGGGGCTTCACAAGGGCAGAGTAGAAGGGACAATTGCTTCTCTCTCCCTGCTGGCGCCTTAAATACAGACCTTCTGGCAGGTTTTTAAGCTACCTGCAAGTATCAGTAAATACTGGGCTCTTCTACTCCTGTGCTGAACCCAGATGAGTGGTTTCTAATTTGTTTGATGTCGTGCAGTCAATTGGCTCTGACTGATAATATTTGGCTTTAGGGTGTGAGGTTATTCAGTATATAACATATTTCATTAAATTTTCAAACAACAAGAGAATTGGTTCTGCAATGTGGGCTTCTGTTTATAATAGTATTTATTGGAATTCTCTAGCTTTGTTCTTTGTTGGCAAACACCTATTTAAATGTACTGACTTCAGGACTTCAATTTGAAAACTAATTGAGATTTATATTTATTCCTTAGATCAAAATCAAGAGTCTCATATTTCAAATATTTTTTATGTATAATTTTACTTCTGTTCCATTGTATTATGATATATTCAAGGTTTCACTTTGTATTTCTTATCAGGTTTGCATCTGCAGGCGATGATGGAATCATTTTTCTGTGGAATGCTCAGGTTTGTCTTTTTTAATGTGTGTGGGGGTAGCTGATTTGTTTCAGAGGGGGTAAGCATTACGAAGAGCTGTTTGAAATATCTGCTAGCATAAAAAAAAATTGCTGCATTGGTTTGTATCAGAAATACTATTTGAGAATGTAGAAGTGGAGTTCGTCAAATCTCAGTTTTAAAAGAAGAACTCGGAAAATAAAAGATGTGTTATGGACATAAGAAAAAAATAACTTTTGAAAGTTAAAATGTTTTGTGGTGGCATAATGATTTTACACACATTGCGAAATTATATGTTGATGTGAAGAGCAGAAGTGATTATGAAGTTATGACTAATTATTTTAATATATGCTCAGTGCTTGCTGAAAACACTAAGGTGCTAACTGTGGACTCTGATTATATAGCAAGATCCCAGTATTTATCTCTTTAAGGATATCTTAGTAGCTCTGTTTGCAATAACTGCATTAAAACTGATGAGACTAAATGGAGAGTAATGCAAAACTTCACTGGAAAAACATCAATCAGTGATAGTTAAATTCTTCACTCAGTGTCAGAGCAAGGCCTTGCTTGCTGTGATAAAAATCTCATTGTATTTTTTAAAAATCTTTTAAAATAAAGTAACTCATATGGAAAATGTGCTCTGTAAATGTGAAAACCACTGTATTTGTTATGTAGTACACTTCATGTATATTTTCTTAATATGTTATTTAACCCAGGTAAGATCTTGGAAAGTGTTGAAGGTCTAGTGAAGTGAAACTTCACTAGATTTTGGAAATTGAGATTTTAGACTCTTAGAAAATTTTGCTTTCAAAAGTACTTTGATACTTGTGTCATGTATTACAATAGGTTTAATCCAGGTTTTACCCTTAATTTTCCCTGTTCTTATTTTTCAGACTGGAGAGAAACTTTTTGAACTTCATGGTCACACACACAAGATTACAGCTATAGCACCATTTTTTTCATCAGATGCTTCTGAAGAAAACAGTCATTTGATTTTAACAGCATCAGCTGATAGAACAGTTATTGTATCCTTAGATCTGGAGAGGTTTTGAACTTTTTTTTTAATTATGTTTTTACTGGAAGTGTTTACAGAGGCTATGTGTTGTTTGAATTTATCAGCTCGTAATATGCAGTACGTATAATTGGATCAAACTAGGATTTTTTTCTAGTCATTGCTCACAATTAGATGTAATCCCTGCTATGAAAATGAATCTTAATGATATGCAATTATTAGTATGTCATTTTGGCCTTTTGAAAAGATGATCGGAAGCTATAGGACTGAGTTTCTGCATATCTATATCTGAAACTCTCCTTTAGTTAAAAGCACAGCAGTTATAATAAATATATAAAATCAATTTCCTTAATAAATTAAGTCAGGTTTGGGACTGCACTACTGGCAAACAGGTGCAAAAAGTATCATGTTTCCATTCTACTGTAAAGGTAAACTGAGGAAACCCCAAATCTGCCTGACTTATTGTGCACAGTAATCTTTTCCGTGTGGGTGTTCTTATGGGCAGGTGTATTTAAATGAACAACAGTGTAATTTTAGAAGATGTAACCCTTTAACAGTGACTGCTTGAGAGCTGTTATTAGGAAGTTCTTGGTTTCTTTCTGAGACTTTGAATTCCTCAATTTTGTTTTTGAAAGGCTATAGATTAAGGGTGATTTTATACCTCTATTTTGTTATTGCATTGGAAAAGGCAATCTGCAATCAAACTATTGAATGTTAATTGAAAATTTCATTAGAGGTCAGATGTTGCATTGTTGATGGATAAATGTAACATATAGTATGTAATTAATTCTATATTTCTCAAGAAACTGACATTTAATACTGTATTTCATAGTACTTACAGGTTCATCTAGCTAAAGCTCATGATCACTTTAGTGAAAAATTCCCTGTAGAACTTTTGCAGGGGACATATATCTGATTTTTGTTCTACAGTGTTTGACAGTCCTTCAAAGACTGGATGTATGGTTGTCTGGAGGGAGTGATCTATGTGTTTGGAACCGAAAATTAGATCTCTTGTGTAAGACCAGTCATCTTACTGATGCAGGTAAAAATGTAAATGACTCATTATAGCAGTTAAAGTGCAAGTAAAATGGATCTGTATAATGATGCAAAACCAACTTGGCAAATTCTCTTTAATTTTAATGATAACATTATGTATTAGAGCCACTTTTTAAAAATGTCAAACTTAATCATTTCAAAATTAAGACTGCTTTTAGTCTCCTGTGCTGTGTGAATTTCAGAGTATGTCAAACCTCAGTAAGTGTAATGCTTTATGGTTACTCTAAATATTTTGCAATAACTGTATTCCAATTAACTTGAAATCTTAGAGGGCTGTACTCTCTATTGCTGACTTACATATATTTACTGTAATGGGGGCCAGATTCTTTCACTTTCTCTGTGAAGGAGCTGGAGTTTTATTATTTCTATTTAAAACTTAATGGTATTAGTAGTAGAGTAGTAAAATTTCTTTTTATTTTTAAGAATCAGTGATTTTTTTTTTTTGTAGAAGATTGAGATCAGATTATATTTACTGTATTTCTGTCAAAACCTCAATGTCAGTCATGCTTTTCTGTTAATAGCCTTATATTATTTAGCTATGCAAAGAAAATAGTTACACTTTATTGCTATGCTTTACGAAGATAGCTATGAAGCTGTTAATCAAATTCAGAGCTGAAACCAATATTTTCCTTATTTCTGTCATATAATGTAATAGCAGTAAGTAAAACCCTTCTGAATCTGTGAGGATACCAGTATTTCTTCAGGTTTGATGCAAAGTATCCTACCAAATACCAGTTCTAATTGGTGTTTGTAGTTGGTAGCATAGAGTGCTGTTTAAACTTTCGTATGTAGGGTTGATCAGTGGAATGTGCTGCACTGGCTCTCCTGATCCTTTTCTTCCTTTTCGGGTGAAGAGACTGTTTTATTCTTTAGGGAATTTTTCCATATTAGTGTGACAACACAGGCTGGGGCATGTCTATGTGGAACGAAGGCAGGATAACAGTAAGCTGGACATCTTCTCTTGTGCAGTGTTTTGCTTCAGCTGGCTCTGCATAATATTTTAATCTCATGTATATTGTGGCAATATCAGTATCTAATAACTTCAACAACTTGTATTTAAAGTTTCAGTAATTACCACAGTATCCTTTATGTTGTCCAGCATTAGGACATATACATCTTAGCCCTACTTAAAATAAAAAGATTATTTGTAGGAACTTTAGCTCCTATATCAAGTTCAGTGCTAAGAATTCTGCTGTTTTCTGAACCAAACTCTACCTCCATCTGAAGTAATCTGTTCATTTCTGTTGCAGTTTTAGTTTGGCTTTTGTGCAGCATGATTTTGTTTTGCTAGTAATTTGTATGTGGACAGAAAATTACAAAAAACGTTATTGAAAAGGATTTATCAGTTAACTATGTTTTCTTTTGGTCAATAAATACTGTTTTCTCCCTTATTTCCTTTATTTTTAAAAGGTATTAGTGCTTTGGTTGAATTGCCTAAAAATTGTGTTGCGGCTGCTGTTGGCAAAGAGCTAAGTGAGTATTCTGGATTTCTGTTAGGTCTTTGTATCCTTTGTCATTGTTTATTAGAGATACAACTCCAGCAGTGATACAGGTATAGGAAAAGTGAAAGGTACTAAGGTGTAATTAGCAACCTTCCTATATTTTTCTTTATTTGATAATAAAGCAGATAGAACTCATCTCCTTCAGGAATTTCATTGAGAAATGGTCAAAACTTTTCTGCATTCTTTTAGTATTATTAATGCCACCTGTCCAGATCTGACTGTGGGTATCTGCATTTATCCTTCTGGTCTGGAACTTGTTTTCATACCTGTTCAATGCCTGGGAACTCTGTATCCTAAGATACAGAGTGCAGTATTGCCAATAAAACAATATGCAAAGCTGCAAGGAGATGATGTGGTCATTTTTGATACTCACTTAGAGATAGGCTTTTCTATGTATGCAAACTGTAAATCATCTGCTAGCTGTTTGTGGGGAGCCTTTTAGAAGTGTTTTATGAAACTATTGAAATGCCAGAATGTATGAGTTGTGTCAGGAGATAAAGTATAGCAAAAAGTCCACAAAACAAAAGATTTTACCTGATATTATTAAATACTTGGATGAAAAAAAAACATCTAATAGTGTGCTCAAAGATTTAGGAGCAAGCTAGAAATAGTCTTCCTTTGTTTAGACTTTGGTATATAGCATAAACTTCCATCTGAAGTTCCCTCAGTTTTGACATGCCCTTGAGATAGCATAAAAGAAATTCCAAGACTGATAAAAAGGAAGTCTTAATTCCTGGAGGTTTTGATTGTGTTATTACAGAGTATTACATCCTTCTGTTTAATAAGTCTTTGAGACAGTGATTGTTTTTTACCTTATTTATCAATACAGATGTTGAACACTTTCCACTTCTGCTTTGTACAACTTCTGATCTGGTCAGTTCTCTAAATTTCAGAGTTACTAGGTAGAAATCTCGATCCCTACAGCTGCTGTAGTAGGAGACATTAATAATAACACTGTAATAAATTATTCACATTTTTGTGTTATGAGGAAAGCAGTTAAAGAGATGATCATAAATGGTACTGTGCATCTTGCACTGTCTCACTTTTAATGTGCTTAAATTTGTGTCTGTCTGAATATGATCTGTTTTATTTGAGCATATCTATATTTTATTCTGACAAATGATAAAGCTTATTTAGTCAGTTTCTCTCAATATCTTTGAAGTCATTTTTAGGTTAATTGCTTCCAGTGAAAAGTCTGAAGGTTGGAATATCCTTGAAGTAAAACGCCTTGTCGATCATCAAGATAACATCTTGTCATTGGTCATTGTCAATGGTAAGTGGGGATTTTGGTGGAATATTTCAACTGCAAGCTTCTTCTTGGGATCAAACTTGTAACTGGAGTAAAGCTTCATAACTTGTAGGTGATCCTTTCTGTGGTAGCTGTGAAGGCGGTGAAATGTGAAATGAAATCAGGTACGTTTATGATGTAGAAAAGGCTCAGGGGTACAGATGTAGGCCTGCACTTAGATGCATTATTTAGATGCTCTGGAAGATGATGCAATCTCTGTTGCTTATTTTGGCAAGACCAAGGGACTGCTTGAAATTCTGCCTAGGTAAAGACTGCAGTTACCCTTCTGCTTTGTTGTCTTATCTGTCTCTTTGAGTTCCCTCTGAGCCCAGGACAAATTATTCCCATTGTGACAGAGCGTATATCTGTACTCTAGCTAATATGTGCCAGCCAGATTGGCACAAAGGGCTTATTGAACTGAGATAGAGAGAATCACAGAATCGCCAGGGTTGGAAGGGACCTCAAGGATCATGAATCTCCAACCCCCCTGCCACACGCAGGGCCACCAACCATCCCACCTAATGCTAGACCAGGCTGCCCAGGGCCCATCCAATCTGGCCTTGAACACCTCCAGGGATGGGCATCCACAGCCTCTCTGGGCAGCCTATTCCAGTACCTCACCACTCTCTGTAAAGAACTTCCCCCTGACGTCCAACCTAAATCTCCCTTCCCTCAGCTTAAAACCATTTCCCCTTGTCCTGCTGTCACTCATCCTTTCAAAGAGTTGATTCTCCTCCTGTTTGTAGGCTCCCTTTAGGTACTGAAAGGCTGCAGTGAGGTCACCCCGCAGCCTTCTTTTCTCCAGGCTGAACAAGCCCAGCTCTTTCAGCCTGTCCTCATAGGGAAGGTGCTGCAGCCCCCTGATCATCTTTGTGGCCCTCCTCTGGACCCTCTCCAACAGCTCCCTGTCTTTTTTGTACTGGGGGCTCCACGCTTGGATACAGTATTGCAGATGGGGCCTCACAAGAGCGGAGTAGAGGGGAACAATCACCTCCCTGTCCCTGCTGGCCACCCCTCTTTTGATGGAGCCCAGGATACCATTTGCCTTCCGAGCTGCAAGGGCACACTGCTGGCTCATATTAAGTTTTTCATCTATCAAGACCCCCAGGTCCTTCTCCACAAGGCTGCTCTCAAGGACCTCTCCTTCCAGTCTGTATGGATGCCTGGGATTCCTCCGGCCCAAGTGCAAAACTCTGCACTCTGCCGTGTTGAACCTCATCAGGTTCACCCGGGCCCACCTTTCTAGCCTCTCGAGGTCCCTCTGAATGGCATCCCTTCCTTAACCGTGTCAACCGCACCACTCAGCTTGGTGTCGTCAGCAAACTTGCTGAGGGTGCACTCAATTCTGTCATCGATGTCATTGATAAAGATGTTAAAGAGCACCGGTCCCAAGACAGACCCCTGGGGGACGCTGCTCATTACCAGCCTCCACCTGGACATAGAGCCATTGATGACCACGAATAAAACTTGGGTTCTCTGGTGGTTGTTTCTGGCTTACTGATGTACCTACTTAGCAAAGGAAAAAGAGGCTTTTTCATGTAAGCAACATATGAACTTCAAATATTGTACATACTTTCAGTGGTGGGTCTCTGCCTTTGTCATACTGTGCTTTGCAACAAGTGAATGTCCTCTTTGCTAGTTCTGATTTTACAGGAGAGAGCTCATCTTCTTTCGATTGCCTCAGCTATTCTAAGTAATCAAATAAAAATTTTCTCAAGGGGGAGAGGAATTTGTTCAGTCAGTTAGTGACTGTGCCTTCCACATAGCTTTATGCTAACATAAGCTTTATTGTTGTGTAGGGCTGTAACCTTGTCTGAAATGGATGCGTTTGTTTGTTTGTTTTAAAATAATATGATTTCAATGTAATTATTATTTTTTTCCCCTCTAGATTTGACTTTTGTGACAGGTTCTCATGTGGGCGAGTTAATAGTTTGGGATGCACTTGACTGGACAAAGCAGGCATCTGAGTGCAACTTCTGGGACTCTTCTGTCCAACCAGATGCACGGACAGAAATAAAACTATCCCAAAGTCCAAATGAAACTTCAGTTAAGCACTTAGCATCTGATGACGAGGTAGGAATTCTTAAGCTGAGCAAAGTACTGAAAAGGGCGAATGTTCTGTGTTTTCAGTTTCGTTGCTGTTTTAAGCGGATTGATAGACTTCTTTAAAATGGGCACAATTTTCATGTATGGCTTTTGGTCACTGAGCTAACTGCAGATTGTAGGATGTTGACTGTATGGGAGCTAACATTATGGATTGTTGCAACAACTATTTTTTGACTGAAAAAAGAAAATCAGCTGCTTGCAGTACTCCTAGAAAAAAAACAAACACATTCTGATGGTGTATATCTCTCTTGTGTCATGGTTCTGGAATGGCATTTTTCAAAACAGGACATCTCTTATACGGTTACTTTGGAGATGACCTAGGAGAGCTCAGTCACTGTTGAGAAAATGGTAAAAATCCTCAGACTGCTGTTTACTTCTGGAAAATGTCACTGCCTGTTAGTGACAAAGGAAAAACGTTTTATTGTTGGAGTACAGTGGGATTCTGTTCTGGAGCATGAAGGTGCATTGCAAGGGAATGATTAAGAAAAAGAGCTCTCTTAGGAGCTCTGTTGGCAGACTAGGTAGTTAGTTAGTTGGAGAAGAAGAGCTTGTCTAATTTGATGCTGTGTTTGAATTCGTAGCACCATCCAGAATCCAGTGGGATGGTGAAGGTTTGGCAATACTAAAGAAGTGTGCTAAGGAGTGCAACCTCCTGTCCTGGTGTATGCTTAACCTGCCTGTTAACATCAGTGTACAGTTCATGCTTCCTCATCTGTTTATTTTCTTGGGGTTTTAAATGACCACAATTTTACCAGGACTGATGTAAAAGAAGATTTTCTGTTAAGAGCACGTTTAGCAGAGCGTAAATGGAACCTATGTAAAAGTCAAGAGTGTGTCTCAAAATGGAAGACTAATGGAAAGACTTTAATTTCAGTGGTAATAGAGCTCTCACCATAGATGTACATAATAAACAAAAAAGCCCCCCAAACTAAGAACATTAAACTACTATTGTATGTTGAGACAGTTGTTGAATGTAGGCCGGTCACTCTAAAAGTAATGCCTCCTATTTATTTCCATGGAAACTACAACAGCTACAAAAAGCACAATAACACTGTTTGATAGAGCTAATTCTTAGCTACTCTAGGCTATTTTTCAACATAGTCACCACTATTAGTCATGTATTTTTGCCAGCAATGGACAAGAGCCTGCATGCCATGCTTATACAAATCTGCACAAGTGGAAGTGGCCCACTGCCACCACTGCTGAAATGTACAATATACAATCTGAGTACGCTCATATGTACTGTTTGATCTCCCTAAATATTCAGCAAGTGCTGATGAATGTCAGCAGGTGCTGTTTTTTCCATATGAAAGAATTCAGTGACACACCTTTGCTTCATACTGCCCCTCTGCTGCCATCTGTCACACAGCAACCAAATGTAATGGAATATTGGTGGGAAAGTTAAACCTCTTCCATACTGCCAACTGTCTCTGAAATGAGCCAACATAATAAAATAGGAGGCATTATTTTGGAGCATTCCTTCTCATGTATAAATAGGAAATTTTAGTTAAAAAAATCTAGATTACCAGTGTTATGAAATGTTGACAAGTGCGTAGAGTGAACTGCTTATGAGACATTGATGCTGAGGCTCTGTGGATGGAAGCAGGCCATTCAGGGAAAAGATCCTTAAACAAGGTATGTCCTGGAATATATTGAATGGGTGTGGTTTTCATTCCTGTTTGGCAGCCAGTATTTATCAGGTATGGGTGTTCTTTTTTGAAATCATAACAGCTAAGTCACAGTAAGATCCAGGTCCAATGATGTGCCAGGTATTTCTGGCTTCTTAGAACTGTGGTGGTTACCAGATGAAATCCCTGTGTTTTACTGAAGAAGAACATTGCATGTAAAATGCTTACTGGTCTTCACAGTATTGTGTAAGATATGGGAGTGGAGCCTGTATCCTTGGGTAAGATCCTTTTGTGCAGATTTATTAAATTAAAAAACAAAAACGATAAATGCAGAATTCTCAGATTTCTCCAGAAATTCTCAGAATTCTGGATTCTCACTACTCCTTGAGAAAAATAGGGTTTGTTAAAACACACAGAGCTGTACTTTCAGTGTAAATATATAAATGTTTAATTGTAGAAATGTTTTAATTTATTGGTGTTCCTGGTTTCTCTTTAGACTGTAGGACAGAGAATGAAAAGTACTGAAATTCAATAACTGCTTTAGTAGAGTCTCTCTCATTTCTTTGAAAAGATCCATCTTTTTTTCTGAAATTTGCTGTTTTCATATGCTTAGGATAAAGCAGTTAACGTGAGTACAGAATCTAGCCATGTAATGCTGACTAGATGATATCATAAGGCCCGCTGGAAATCCATAACACACAGGGTGATATTTCACTGTCTGTTTCCATAAGTTGTTCCATTGAATTTTCTTTCCAGTATGTGTATGCTGCAGTTGGGAAAGGCATATACATATATAATCTCCAAATGAAGCGTGTGATTGCCTGCCAGAGGACTGCTCACGACTCTTCTGTACTGCACATTGAGATGCTTCCAAACAGGTACAAGTCATGGTACATCTTGTCATGCAGTAAAGAAGCTCAAAACTTGGCAGAGTAGTTAGTCTACAAAGCTACATCTAATTTCTAGGGCAGGGACTTAATCTTTAGCTTGATCTGCTTTTACTAGGTAGAACTTGTTGATTTGATTTTTGAAATGCAGTGTTTTTTTTTGAAATAACTAATCCGGCATGCTCGATAGACAGATTCAAAATAAAATATCTTGGCTATATTCAAAGTCAGAATTCATAAACACTTTTGTCTACATTGTGAAAATACAGCTTAATGGCATTTTACTTATATAAAGCAAAGACCTATGGCAGATCTGTTAAATCATTTTCATTAAATATCTAAGAACTAACAAAATATTTTAGCAAAAAATAACAACTTCCAGCCTTCTTTCATTAGAGTGGAATTTCTGGCTAGAATGTCTTTTGGACAGCCAAGTTAAAAAAAAAAAATTAATGAAAATTACATATAACAAGTTTTTAATGTTATCTAGGAGTTGCATTTTTAAATCCCTTTATTTTTAAGTTTGGAGCAAAATTCTATCAGAAGCTAAAAATTGGGGTCTTGATTTTGAAAATTCACGTTTTTCAAAGCACATCGTTTATGTGTAATAAAAAAGGCTATTTCTCCTTATGTTCTCTTTCCATAAATAATATGGTTTTGCTTAATGAAAAAAAGCTTGCTGAAGTCATTTTGTGTGTTTGCAGAGTCCAGATGTGCTTTAGTGTGATTTTTTTTTTTTTAAAGTTTGAAAATGTAAATTTTCCATTTATGTTTCAAGTCCACTATAGTTTGTCCTGCTACAGCTTATTTGTATCCATGCTTGTATTGCCTATCAACTGTTTTGACAGGCAGCTGATATCCTGTTCAGAAGATGGCAGTGTCCGCATTTGGGAGCTCCGAGAAAAGCAGCAGCTGCCAAATGAACCAGTTCCAACAGGTTTGCTTGGAATGTGGGTGGAGTGAAAACAGCATTTAGAAAAAAAAAATCAGAGAACTCTAATTCAGGCGTAAAGAAGCTTGAAGGCTTTGTAAGACAAAATAATGTCATGTGTTCAATCAACTGGGACAGATGTAAGAGGGGAACCTGAGAAGACATTGGGCATACAAGCCACCTAGGATCTGATTTGAGAATATAGAAGGTCCTACTGGAGCAATTCTGTGCCATAAATATTATTTCAGTTTTCACTTTTATTAGTTGGTCTAAGAAAAATTACTGTCTCTCCTGACAAACTTTCATTCACATCTCCTTTACTGAGTACTCTACCTGCCAAAAATAAGTTGCAAGATTTTGTAAAGACAAGTTTGCAAATGAACAGCTAGCACAAAAAAATGATTTCTATATCTCTTTCTTGAACTTCGAACTCACTTTGAGACTGTCCCAGCTTCATTTGCATGCAGTCCTCAGGGTCTTGTTGCCTGGCTGATAGAAATGTTGTAAGGATTTTTTTCTAATATTTTTTTCTAATGGCAGATCTCTTTGCTTTCTGGGTTGGTTTTCAGGAATGTCCTGCCTCAGTATTGCTGATGACAACTGGTCTGTGCAGTTCAGCTGCTTGTTGTGATGCATTTGTTTTCATGTTGGAAATATCTAACTTTGATAATTGGAGTTAGGTTTGAAATAAACTATATGCTATAGTGGAATGGCTAGCCTGCTGTTGCTGTGCTGTTTTCATTCTAAGGAATCCCTTAAGTAGTTATTCATCTCTCCTGTCATCTTTGTACCAAGGCCTTGGCCTAGCACACTTCTTTCTGTCTACTGATAGACCTGAAGGAGGGGTTAGGAGCAAAGATGAAACTTCACTGTGTACAGAACTTAAATTTCTCGTTCTGTAAATGTCATTACACAGTTCTTCAGATAATGTATTTTCTTGTATCTAAGTGGAATGCGTGGAGGATTATTGGTGCACATTTTGGATGATGATTTTAAGACTAAATGACAAGTCAGTAAGTAGTATGAAAACAGGCAGTTCAGCACCAAAAACTTGCTTGCTACTTGTGTGCAATGCTCTAATGTGCAATGGAGGACGCACAGGGATGAGATTGGCACCTCATTTTTCTCATCTGAGCACAAATGACAGCCAAGTAGTTTAAGAGGACAGAGCATCACTGTCCTGCATCTGTCTTTGCCATTCAGTTAGTTCATTTAAGCATCTTCTGGAATTTCTGCTGAATACATGTATTTTCTCATCCAAGTGAGTAATACAAAATTTGCCACATTTTAACAAGATTCAAAATGCCTGTTTTCCTCTGCCATCAAAATGAGTAATTCTGATTCAGAAATGCTGCTAGTACCATGCTCTAGTTACTTTGCCATGCAGACTGTCCTACTTTTAGATTGCAAGCAACTCTCAAAGATTTCTTTTTAGCTAGTGGAAATAAAAATTGGTTTTTTGTTTGTTTTCCAAAAGAAAACATTTTTTTTTCCCTACAGGGTTCTTCAACATGTGGGGATTCGGAAGGGCAAACAAGCAGGCAAACCAAGCTAAGAAGGTGCAGGAGAATACACCTATGCATTTTTTGGAGCTCGTTGGTGATCTGATTGGTCATTCATCAGCTGTACAGGTAGGCCAGTTTTAGTAGGATGAGAAAAAGAATTTCATTTACTTATGTAATTTTATGTTCTTTAATTACTTGTGTAATACTTGTGTATATATGTACTTCTTTAAGCAGCTGTAACTTTTAACTCTTTAAGCCTGGAGGCTGGGAATGTCTTCATCGTACTATGAGTTGTATGGGAGTCCTGGGCTTTAGGTCCTTCTAAATTCATCAGAAATTTAGCAACTAATAAATACACACATTGTATGGAATATGTAGAACAGTATGAAAACAATAATATTAGTAAATTAAAGTTCATTAGAGCTCAAACAGTGACAGATGCATGAAGACTGGCTGTACAAAAATGCTACAGAAAATATGGTAGGATATTGGGTTCCTTTGTAGACTGCTAACAGTCCAACTGGAAACTGGATGTTTATTCAGAATTTCACCTTAAGTTTACAATCTGTACAAAGGTTCATAAAAAATGAAATCAATTCAGTAATTGTACCCCCTGTGCTGTGAGCCTTAAGGTTGTCTTTTAAATTTAGATCAGGTATTGTGCTGTGCTGCCTAACAGAGTATATGTATTTTTTTAAATGGCATTTCCCCTTCCACACTTCTGTTTTCAGTGTTAATGTTTGGTGAAAATATTGGAGTGAAAGATAACAGTTCACTGTAAGAAAGCTATACTCTTGGTAGGAGTAGGAGAAAGGTTTGGTAATGAGGAAGGGAGGAGGGGGCAGGTCCTGGAGTAATTTTGCTTGAAAGTATGCATGAGACTAGCAGGATTTCAGAACTGGTAAAAGCTGGAAGATTCTCACTAATAAATAGAACGATCCCATCTGCTACAGAGATTTCTGCAAATCTTCCTGCCTCTCTCTCCCATCTTTTTCTCTAGAACTATTTCTAAAACTATTAGAAAAGACTATCTTAGCAGTAAAATAAGTAGGTACCTACAAAAGGAGTGTCTAGTTTGTCTCTTGCCTTCTTTGCTCTGTCCTGATATGTTTTGTCTTTACTGTGATGCTTTAGAGTCAAGTAACAGCTAAAATAATGGTGAATATGATTTCCTGCAGTGCTCTATGTATGGAAAGTATTTTAGACCTTTGACAGACTGGAGCAGTTGAGGCTGGAGATGTTGAGTGGTGGATGAAACGTGATGGTCAAAGATGTGCGCTTGGCCTGTATATTTTACTGGAATCATAGAGCTAATAACTGGCTGTTCCTGGGGCAAATAGGCTGTAGCACAGTCTCGGTGCTTCCTCCAGGCAAATCTCTTCAGTATCTTTAGAGGTCAGAGCACTGCAAGCATGCCATGATGTCTTTGAGTGGCCTTGTTCCACTGGATGCTGTGTTGAAATGTTAGCTGATGAGAGGCAGCCTTGTGGTCACTGAAGTCAGGGATCACTACTTATCTTACTGGCTCCACTGCTCTTGTGGAATTCCTCCTCTACTTGTATATTTCTCCTGTATCATAGTTCTCACTGGCCTATCGCTCTCTGTGTGTGACCTAGGCCTGGTGGGAGTAGCTTGTGTTGTAGTGTGGGTATTGTGTAGTCAAATGAACGGTACAGTGGCTTTTATTTCTGAGCAGAAACTGTAAAACAGAGGTCATGCAACTCATGCCCGTTCTACTACTGACTTAGAAAACGTTTTATTCAAGTTGTTGCACCTTAGCTTCTCTATCTGTAAAGCTTTACTTCCTTCTCCACATGGAAATCTTTCAGGGCAAAGTGTTATCTGTATGAACACAGCCCTTAAATATTTTATGACATCTCAAACATACAGAAAATATATGTTGTAATTTTGAATACCTGATGTTTGAACAGAACCATTTCAGAGACATGTACTTCTTCAGTTCAGGTTTACACTGAACATTTAAGCCAGCTGATAATGTCGTGTGAGTGTCATAATAATTGTAATGGTTTAATTGCAGATGTTCCTGTACTTCAGTGAACTGGGACTGGTTACATGCTCTGCTGACCATCTCGTTATTTTGTGGAAGGATGGTGAAAGAGAATCTAGACTCCGCAGTTTAACGTTGTTTCAGAAACTGGCACAAAATGGTGATTTGCAACCAAAATTTTAAATTGCTTGAATACAGGCTAAATATGCATAACTGGATATACATTAAATGTGAATGTGAAGGAAAGTCTGCAGTTTTACTGTGGGTTAACCTACACTGGAGTTGATATAATACCACTATGACGTCTAGCATGAAGTGTGAATGATTCAAGTTAGTCTTTACATAGCATACTCATTGAATTCATTTGTTTGTCAAGAAGGTGCTGTCCTTACTGGGGATTTTCAGGATGTAAAATATTTTCATAACCAGGAGTAATTGATCTGTTCTGCCAGCTGAGCACTGAGTTCTTGAATAAATTTTGACTGCAGAGAAACTTAACTATGTATGTAAGCCCAAATAGTATTTTAGAGTTTAAAAACGTAAAGCCTCCAAGTACACAATGCCTTTTTCAAGTCTGAGAAAGCAGCAGTAATCTGCAAAGCTGAACAGATTTAAAAACAAACATAATTTAAAAAAAGAAAAGAAAAGCGCTGGGGGAAAAGAACAACCAACCAACCAAAAACTCTCCAATTCTCCAAAACCCTCCACTAAGTTAAATCCAGAGCAGTTATTTATAATCATCATGAGATGGGGAATAGAGGAAGGAATTATCAAAATCATTAGAAAGGAAGTGGGAAGGAGGATGGATTACCATTCTTTTACTGTTTCTTCTGGAACAGAGAGGACCTAAGGTCAAGAAGACTTGAGGAATTTAAAATAGGGCTCCACTGCCCTCAGTTCTGCTCCTCAGACCTAGCGCTCAAAATAGCTCAGGATAAGTCTTCTGGAACTTTGCAATGCCATCGCTTCCTTCTGAATCAGTGAGTTAACTGTTTTCAGTACTGTAGACTCCAGTGGTTTAATTCCAGATTTGAAGTCCAGCAACTGCAGTATATGTAATTAAAACAAAGTGCTAAGTGGATCCTGACCAGAGCAAAAGCAAAAGGAGGCACTCCAACTTCCTAGGAGGAACTGAAGAAACTTAGATTTGCTTCCCCCAGTTCCCATGGATATATGCATTTCCCATAACATCCAAAAGACAAACATTGCCTCTTGAGTCTGAACATAATTATCCCTGGAAGGGAGGGGAAAGAACAGTAACATTTTAGGTTGTATTTTTCCCTGCTTTTGTGAGTCTGTTGAATTTAGAACCCCAAATGGCATTAAAAAACAAATAAACAAAAAAGATAATGGAGGAATTGTTAAGTAATGCTTCCCTTTATATTCAGGAAGGTGAAGCTTTAAATCTTGGAACTGCATGTTTTTTTTCTCAAGATGGCTATCCTATGGTAGGGAAAGAGATTGGATTACAGATGGTCATAGGATGCCTTTGGGTATGTGTTACTACACATGCGAGGATGAAAGCATGTTAACTTCATCTGTTCATTAGTCTCCATCTAATGCACTGTTTCAGATAGTGTTCATCAGCATGTGTTGCACTCTGTACAACTGAGGTACAAAGGTACAAAGTGGGCGAGGAAGTTCCTCTTTGGTTCTTTTTCCCCACTGTGCCTGGGCAGCCCAGAGGGCCAACTGAGTGCAGCAGGCCCAGCACTGCCAGCGGGTGAGGCGAGGAGTTGTGCCACTCTACTTTGTGCTGTGTGGCCCCCCCTCCTGCACTGGGTACCATTGTAATGACACAAGATAAGGACATTAAATGTTAGACAGTGTCCAAAGGAGGGCTGGTGAAAGGTCAGGAGGGCAATGGGCTTTTCGTTGTTTCTACGATTCCTTTTAAATTTCTTTTACCAGATCTCAGTAAAGCAGAATTCTGCATGTTTTTGTGAAAGTAAATGTCTTTGTCAGAAATAGCCTTAATACCTGTACAGAGAAAAGAGGCAATTTAAGCATGTATGTACTGATAATAGTATGAAGCAACAGAAGTAGTCACTGGGACAGGCAGGAGTCTGACAAAAGTGGTACATAAAGATTAATTCACGCTTATTTCTTCTACTCTTAAATAGGACATTAGTCCACATGAATTACTTTTTACCCACAGTAAAAAAGTACACAGGATCTGGCAACAAATATTTCACATTAATGCTTTAACTCAGGTACTGAGGCTGAACTTTATTTCTTACGTCCCTTCTACCATTGACATTCCTCTTTGTCTGACAGAGCTGTGACAATACTGAATTGAAATGTTTTACATGACTATGATCTTACAGTTACGCAGTATGATCTTACAATATTTAATAAATTAAGAGGACAAAGTTTGAAAGTTTAAATTCTTTTCTCTAATGCATGCTGCAGTGAGCATTCAGTCATTGGAACAGTTAAGATACAACCACTGAGAGCACTAGTTCTAGATAACGGAATGGTAAAAGCAGTTTACTGTATAAAAAACAGAGGTTCAACTCATCTGAATAAAAATCCCTTGAAAAAATGTTGCATGTATATTAAGAAATAATGAATATATATCTTTCACCAGAAACACCATTCTTCAAATATACACAGTGCAACATTTTAACACATAGCAACCAAAAGTAAGGTTCTATTACAATTCTAACAAAAATATACCTTATATACATTTTTTTCTGCACATACATTTTATTTTATTGTTTTCCAAACTTGGTACAAAACATACAAAAAAGATTGGCACATTACTTAAGCTACCTGCAGTAAACAATCACTGTCACTTTTCTTCCACAGCTATCTAAGCTCCTTTTATTTTTTTCATAGTTCAGTTGTAGATACAGTGTAAAGGTGTGGAAAAGAGTCTGCCTCAAGACCCTTCGTTTCGACTCAAGTCACTGATATGATGCTTTTGTCTGCAGTGCAAAGTGTTTAAAAATCAGCAGTTCTGCCATTATTAACTGAATAATCTGAGAACAGTCTAAAATTTGAACTCATGTTCATGGTCTGCATGTGGTTAAAATGAGATGTACAAAAATACGCATTTGTGCTTAGAAAGCTTTAGCATAAATTTCATATTCTAAAACCAATGAAAAACTATGTCTGATTTCTGACTTACTTATTTACAACTTCTGGAATGTTTTTTTTTTTTTTTTTTTTACACGACCAAACAAAGCAGCATTTTGTTAGGAAGGAAGAAGCAGTACAAACTGTAATGCTGTTATAAATTATAACCTGGAAACTTTTTTTTTAAACAAAAGATGGAGGTTCATCTGATAAGTAAGCAGCACAATGTATGGCCTTGTCATAAAGTTTAGATCATTTTAATAAAATTGATGTCTGTGTACAACCATCACATTATAAAAAGGGATGTCAATCAACTGCCACAATGGTTTATATGTAATACTTGACAAAGTATCACATGTTAATATCTAAGATGGCAGAAAAAAATGTGGATGGCACCAATTACACAGAACATGCTTATTTTCCTCCACTGTATTGTCAATTTATGGGAATTTCACAAAGTTCACAAAGGAACAGGTTTATATTGTCTGTAATGAAAGTTTTGCTTTAAATGGTGTTGTGTTTGTTTTTAGTGTGCCCAGTTTCTTGAGGATTACTTGTTCTACTGTGCATACTCTCTCTACAACTGTGCTTGAAAGAGCTAAAGAACTTTGGCAGAATTGGAGCAAATTTATGCTAGGTAACTGAGAAGTGTTTATGGTTGTTTTTCAACTTATTATTTTCCTGGTGACTAGATTACCTGTGTCTGAGAAACAGCTGTGTGAAGTGCTAGTGGATACAGTTGTATTTGATACAAGATTCGACAGATTCATATTCAGTACTAGAAATTAGTTTTGGAAGTACCTTATCTGCCACAAAATGATATTTCCAAAGTGCACTTGTTTATGGCCTTTTTGAAAATATTTTTGTGTGGAATTCAGAGAAGCTTAAAAATGATAGATAAAATACTTTGTTCTTGACACATAGTCTTAGTTTCACTTGAAAGAAAACACTATCCCCGTTGTATCCAAGTTAATAAGCAATTCACAGTGGAACTGGTAGTTTGGGAGGTCAGTTTTTCTTGTTTTAATGTCAGTTGTTGTTTTCTGATGGAAGCCTGAGACTCTTGCATTTTAACTCATCCAGCATTTTCCAGTGTTTGTAGTTGTTGGCCAAGTGTTGCATCAAAACAGGCAGGTGTGCGAATGCTGAAACAGAGGAACAATTTTGCTACATGTACAAAAAGTACAGCAGAACAGCCCAGCCTTGTCTAAAACCAGCGTTCTCCTATCTCTTGTAAGTTAATGCTAATAGAGAAAGATTTTTTTTCAGTCTTTCTCCTTCAAGTTAATCCCTTTCTTAGTGTATAAGGAGTTTAGCCATTTATTCCTATCATGCAAATACTTTGATATTCGTTTCTGCTTTTGAGCAAAAAAGACCTAGATAGAAAAGCTTGGATTTAAGCTACTATTCCTTCCCTCTTTACATAATTGGTAAGTACTCAGCTTTTGTGAAATAGGGAGTGTCACATTGCATGGTGACAGAACCCAAATTCAACATCATGTGCTGTACTGCAGACTGAAGGCTGCCTATTGAATACTGTGCTGCCCCTGTGGAAAAACAGACTAATGGCTAGCTTGAGATTATTCTTTTTAATCTGTACAAATTGCTGCCTCAGAGCCAGGAAAAAGCCAGAACTACTTACCATCCCATGCATCAAACATGTCTGTTATAAAATAATCAATGAAGGAAATCTGAGACTTGGGAATGCTGCAGGTGTTTCTGTCAAACACTGGCATCACAACAGGCAGACCCTGTCTCTTCTCTTCATCTGTCTAAGAAAATGAAACACCAGTTAGCCTCAGCAGCTTTCCTGCCTTCATGTTGAAAGAGCAAAGGCCAGGGGACTAGGTGAATTGCAGTGGGAGGCTTCAGACAAAACTTTGAACCCCAAAAGCGAACTTCCTGTGCTTTATTTCCTCTGGAACGGGGACTAAAATTAACATCTCTTCCACCTCGCAAATACTGCTGCTGTGGTGCTGTGACTGTTCTTAGCTCAAGACAGAACACTGTAATCTGGTGATTGGGGCACACCAGTTAAAAATGGAAAATGGAGTTTCAAAGTCCTTTAGCAGAGGACAGATTTGAACTCCTCCACAGCTCTGGTTGCTGTTCCAAACCATTTATCTTTTAAGTTAGAGGGATGTTGCTGCCTGTACTTATTTTGCTTCTCTCTTCTGTTAAAAGAATAACAGAAGTCAGAATATGCCTTTTAACTCTGCCCATAAATTTAAGAGGGCTGACTGTATTGTTCTTAGTGTGGTGGTGGAGCCAACCAGCCCAGTCAGAATTGTAACACACATGTGAAGTATCACAGAATCACAGAATGGCCAGGGTTGGAAAGGACCTCAAGGATCATGAATCTCCAACCCCCTGCCACATGCAGGGCCACCAACCTCCTCATTTAATGCTAGACCAGGCTGCCCAGGGCCCCATCCAATCTGGCCTTGAACACTTCCAGGGACAGGGCATCCACAGCCTCTCTGGGCAGCCTGTTCCAGTACCTCACCACTCTCTCTGTAAAGAATTTCCCCCTGACATCCAACCTAAATCTCCCCTCCCTCAGCTTAAGATCATTTCCCCTTGTCCTGCTGTTATCAATCCTTTCAAAGAGTTGATTCCCCTCCCCTTTGTAGGCTCCCTTTAGGTACTGAAAGGCTGCAATGAGGTCACCCCGCAGCCTTCTTTTCTCCAGGCTGAACAAGCCCAGCTCCCTCAGCCTGTCAAGTATTTTTGTCAGAACTGAATACTGGACGTGGCAGCAAAGCAGCCCCAAAATTACCAGATGAGGTGAATGAAAAGGAGAGCAGTTCTCAACACCTTATATTGCTGTAGGCTTGCTACTGCCCAAGATTGGCAATTTAAAACTAGCTTGCCTGCTAGTATGCTACCTTGGAGGCTTGAGAGATGCACCTCCAAGCAATCCTTGATCTTGCTCTGAAAACAATCAAATGTATTCAGAAGGATTAAAATAAAATTAATAGATCCTATTCACTAGTATTCTTTCCTCCTGGTAACAACTATTGTCTTTATGCTCTGAATTTGCATGGCGGGCATGCTAGGACACCCATCCATCCTTCTGTCTCTCTGTTCTAAGCTGTAGGTTTCCATGCCATTAGCGGCAAATAAAAGCTAAGAAAATGACACTTGCTCAAAATAGAGAACCTGAAGAGTGCTTCACTGCGAAGACACTACTGTTTGTGTTAAAAAAAATTAAGTATTAAGAAAGGACACTGGACTTCCAGTTCTGTTCTTAGGGATCCCATGCAGTAAGCATTTTTCTGCCCATGTGCCTGCATACTGGCCTGCCCCATCCTCTGCCTATGGTAATGATCCTTCAGGTACCATCTTAGAAGAGAAAGCATCAGATTCAGTTGAGGGGTTTATCAGGCATGGAATTGCTCATCATGCTCTGTTCAGGGCATGTATTGACTGGGACCAGAAGCTAGAACAGTGATGATGATTGAATGTTAGACAAATAAATTTACTGAAGTTAGTCAAGTAACTTGCTTTCTGTTAGATGGAGAAAGTTGAATGTCTAATGCCTTTCTACCACTCTGTACCACAAGCTTCAGAAGAAGCAAATGAACTAACTTTGGAGTGAATTCTTCTCATGAATGGAGAGAAAACTACTGTAGAGTCCACAGTGATGCCAGACAGATTCCACTGGAACAACAGACCAGCTAATAGTAATCCAGTGATAAAAATGTACGTACCTGTGCAAAATATTCCTCTGAAATCCTCCCTGCCCATTCAATACATAGTTCTAAGGGACGACATGGATTTGCTACATCTGCACATTTAATCATCATACGCTTGATCAGTGTTTGGTTATCTGGAAAGTTCTTCATGCTGGCTGTACATTCACAGTCACTTCCTTCACTCTGTAACAGAGAGTTGGTTATAAATACTGATGGCCAGCATCCCTGCTAGGAGTAAATGCCTCATTATTAGCAGTGCGTATGTGGCAGGTAGGTACCCAGCGTGATGCCTTCTTCCTCTGTGCAGAGTACCAGGAAGTCAGAGGAGAAAGCAATGTCTGAGAACAGCAGCCTTGCAGAGTAGCTGATGGTAGCAGCACCACTGGTAGTAGTTTGGGATGTTCTCAGAAATAATGTATTTTGTGAAATAAATAGAAGCTCTGTTAGCTAGGGTAGGTCGCCTTTCTCTGCATCCCAGCCTTGCCTTTTGGGAACTGGACCAGAGCAGGAAGTCATCCATCTACAGCAAGCTGACAAACCATCGTCACTGCTGTGTTTAGAGTTTGAGGGCTATGATGGGAAGAGACTGCTACATCCAGGTGGGTGTTTTCAGATTTAATTCACAAATTAGAAAACTCAGGCACAGAGGGATGATTTGATTTGCACAATTTCCTTTAGAGGCAGAAAAACAAGTGTATGCCACTCAGTTTCATCACGTTCAGTTCCATTGTGTTTTCAATGACACTTGCCTCTTTTTGTGCTGGACTTTGTACCTTAGGCCTGGAATACCTTTTGTCTTTGGTACCTGCTAAATTTGAGCCTCACCTAAGCTAGGAGATTAACAGTAGGAAAATGAAGTAGTGGCAGACTGAGGGCAGGCAGTCTCTGCTTGCTAACAAGGCTGCTGCATACTGAAGCGTCCACTGACTGCTGTGGAGACTGAATGGAAGGAACTGAACATTTGTGAAATGTCTGCTGTGACATCATCTTCTGGGTCCTGAATAGATTAGAAGGGCACAGGTATCTTATGTTCCTTACTGAGTAATAAAAAGCCTCTACCTCAGCTCAACATGGCATTAATGCTATACTCAAAATAATACATTTGTGTAATTATGGCCTTCCTTCACTGCTAAATTCAACTCTGAGTCAGAAATTGAACATAAATACTTTTTACCACCACTGCTAAATTAATGTCTTTGTGGTTTATGGGCAGATACTTTGCAGTTGCCAATTCAGCATTAATCTTTTAACTTTATGTTTAGCAGTTAATTTTTTCAGCATGGGCAGCCCAGCAAAGAGCTGCTAGATTAGACCTGCTTGTACACCGCTGTTCAAGATTAAAAAGATTAAAAGTGCCACCATTAAGAATAAGGAACAGAACAATCTACACTAGGGAAAAAAACAGATCTCTAAGATGTGTGTGGCTTTTGCTACACTTGTATTGCTTCTAACTCATCTATGTTATAAAAAAGATAAAGGAGGCTGATTAAAAAAAAAACAAAACAAAACATTTTCCAAAGGTACACTGTGGTGATTGGAGTAGAAAATACAGAAAACATACAAAAGCTGTTTAGGAACTTTTAGAACAGATGCATTAATGTAACAGAAGTAAGATTCTCAGGACTGCATTTGGGGCTTGGAAACACTGCGGTTTCAATGGGACTTGTGAACCAATCCTACAGACTGGAATGCCAGAACGTGGAGATTCCTTAAGGAAGGAGGTGGAGAAATACACCTGATCTGCCAGAGGGAGACTGCAGTGCTATCTGAGAGTGCTGATTTCCCTTTGCCAACTCAGAGAGCTCTTCAGAAATTGGAGCTTAAATTGGAGCTTTTCAGAAGTTGGAGCAAGTTGCTGTCTGGCACATGTTTTAAGCACAGGCAGAGAAATCTGAAAGTGGCTGATTCTGCTAAGTGAGGCATTACTATTCTCTGTGCTTTGATGTAGAGTGGAATTGCTGCTGTCTTGGCTGGCCTATCCCATGAGAACTAGCCTGTGAAAAACTCTGCTTAGGTGGTGTGATGGCAGCACAATGCAGAACAGTGACGGAGACCTCTGTGGTGTTTAACCATTGTCCCTCTGAGCCATGTGGGTTCTGGCAGCACAGATGCATCAGGCAGAGTCAGATGCAGTGCCACATCAGTGAGCCCTCCAGAGCTTGGAAGCTCTGGGACTAACAGTGCAAAGGGTACATAAAGCCAATGAAATTCAGATGCATTTGTGATTTCCAGCTCAGACTGCTGGGAGAATGGAGCTCAGTTGTCCCTCCAGGCAGGCCAGTTAAAGTTATTCTGAAGTCATAAACCTCACCAGTCCTGGTTGGTTTCTGCATCCATGACAGTTTATGGAGGAAAAAGTTGAGTTATGGGGAAGTAATGGAAGCTATTTTAATTTTTTAGTATAACTGAACTTTACTTTGTTCTTATTTCTTTTTCCCATTTCTAATTAAATGCTTCTTTCACCAAGAGGTGATAAGATGATCTTTGTTTAGGTTACTAATGCTGCCAGGAGAACAATGTCAGACAATGTTCAACCTCAAGAGGCAACGAATGAAGGCAAAGAGGGGCCTGAGCTAGTAAACACATAGATAGCACATGAAATAGGCCTGGGCTGGCTGTGGGGCATTAATGTGCATGAATTGACAAGAAAAATGGCCCAGATTGCTTTTGATGAGATCAGAAATGGGGCTGGGGTGGAGAGTTGTCAGGAAGCAACAGAGTTGTTCCTCAAGGCTTGAAGACTCCTGATTGCACAGGAACAAAACTGCAGTTTCCTCAGTTAGAGCCCCAGGCGTAGGGAGGTCCCTCTGCTCAGAGGTAGGATTGTAGGCACAGGTTTTTGGGTTTTTTTGCATGTACAAAAGCGTCTACTTCCATGTCCTGGGAACACAAAATGGCTTTGAGAGCAAGGCTTAAAAAATAGAAGTAAGCTAAAAGCAGTGTCCAGACATGCATAGGAAATATTTTTTCACACAAATCCAGTTGTGTCCTTTGGGCAAGGTGATACGATGTGAATGAAATGATACCTTATGTTATCTTGGAAAAACTTCACTGAGATGCTGAAAGGTGTGAAGTCATGCAGGCACTTACATGTGAGCTGGTCTCCTCAGATGCCATTGGCTTGTTGATGCTGTTCACAAATTTGTTCACGTGTTCAAAGTGCTTTGTCATCTCTGTTGCCAGAACCATATCAATAATGGCCTGGCGCAATGTCCGATAGTGATTTCTAGGAAATGAAAGTAGTTCTTGCTCACAGTCCTGCCAGACAGAACCTTGTCCTTCCCTTGTCCCTTCCCAGACTGTTGCAAAACACGGCTCAGGGGCTCACTCACATGAGCTGATGCCTTCATGGCTATGAAAGGGGCAGGGTTTGAGAAGGGCCTGCTAGCTGGACCATGCCACTGCAGTCCATAAAAGATTACCAAATACCCACGTGCTTCCAAACAATAGAAAACATACAGTGCGACAAAATGCAGAGCACAGGGGGAATCAAAACCTATTTTAGAATAATGTTTACTTGGGATTCTGGAAAAGGTTAATTATCAATGTCTCCATTCAAATTACATTTCCTGGTTCAAAAGTTAGGCTCTTAATCTGCCCCAGACTGAATTCCCCAAACGACCAGCCCATGCAGACATAATGCCCTTCTCCAGCAGACCCACCTATCAATATTCTTGAAAATGTTGCATTTGCTGTCTTTAGCTGTCAGCTGAAATGCCAGTGCTGTGTGATGGCTCTCTAGCACAGCAGTATCATTGTAAAGGACAGCTAATTCACTGCCTGCGTTGCACAGGAAAGAGTTGGTCCGTCCAGGGTGATCTACATCATGAATGGTGGCTGCTATTAATGCAGCCACTTCATCTAAATGGCCAAGGCTTCCCTACAGACAAGAGAGAGATCATGACATGGCACAAAAATTATGACAAAATAATATATGATCATTTCTGTGTACCCACAAATACACAACCTTAAGCTTGAGTGCAGGGACCCGCCTCTTTGCAGTCATTTCTCACTGTGCACACTGGTAACCTCCTCCAAAATCCTCTATCCTCACCCAAACCCTACTTTATTAATTTACATTTTACTGTGTTGTCCCCTAACAACATCCTCTTGTAAGCACACTTCCACTTTGCACATCTGTCTGAATGACTCTATACTAATGGTACTCCTACAGACCTTGTATGTTGTGCAAAGCTTTACAAAGAACTAACACTCAGTTAATAATAGAGAGAAAAGATCTTTTTTTCCTTATTGTCACTAGTTGTAAGTATAAATTCCTTCCTTCTATCAACAGACTTCAGAGAAACTGTGTGGGCCTGCAGGTATCACAGGAAAAGACTTCAAGGGCAGAGTAACTTTATGGATCCAGGACCATTATGGATCCAGGACCATTATTTGAGTAAACAAATGACTTTGAACGATACATATAAAATGGCAGTTCAGTGTGGCACCTGAGCAAGCATACCCAACTCCTACCTCCTAGGCAACAGTTTTACCTTAACTCTCTCCTTTCCCAGAAAGAAGGCAGTAGCATGCAGGACGTCTGCAGCGTGCGTGGAGTTGTGGTATGCATTGGAGGAGTGGTAGTTGGCTTCCATCACCTGCAGCCATGCTCGCAGTGTGGCTTCTGAGCAGTTCAAAAACTCAGGGACCCCAAACCGGCCAAAAACTTTTAAGCCTAAATAAACTAGTGGCCTAGAAAACAAGAGAAGATAGCACTGCTGTAATGTAAGTATTTCTAAAAAATGGTGTTTTCATCAAAGAAACCAAGACCTTAACAATAAAAGGTGGGGGGAATACTGAGCACCTCTATTGTGCACCTGAAAAAAGCCTAATCAATTAGGTTTCAAATGGTTACATCTTCCTTCAAACTTGATGTGTTTTGCAAAGTGGCATAGTTCCACTACAGATTCACCAATTCTTAAGATTTTATCTTGGGTTTCAAGAAACCTCAGATAAAAATGCTTAAAAGCTCTGTTCCTTTGTGTTTTGAGTATCTGTCAATAAATCAAAAATACATTTTCTTTTGAAGAGAAAAAAGCACAATTTCAACACAGCCACATCCCAAAGGCTAAAAAACAATAAAATAAAGTGCCAAACACTTAGAGTTTCACATAATCTTACGACTCCATGGGTACAGATTCCTACTTCCTGAATGTATCAGGTTGGCAATATGCAAACTATATTGTTTCGTCTTACAATCACTACAATCAATTAATCAATCTCAGGCTCTTGATCTTATCACTGACTTATCCTCCAGCCCCATTTTTGTTCTTGTAATCAAAAGCCACAGTTGTCTCACAGCTCACAAAATCATAGGGTTGATTTAGTTGATGGAGGGGAGCAGCTTGCTTTTTCCTGCCTGACCATTTGTGCAATAGCAGGAAGGAGGGTATCGGTGAGACACTGGGCTGTGATGGTGTGACCTGAGAAAGCTGGAGGGAGTCAAACAAAGTAGGGGTTGAACAGGAATTGAGCCTGTCAGGGTCAGAGATGATGTCAGGGAAGACAACAGCCTGCAAAAAGCTTCCTGTGGCCTGTGCATATATCTTAAAGCTGATGCATGCTTGGCTTGTAGATGCTGTCACTGATATGGACATGTACATGCATGCACACAGAAAATAGGAAGACAGCTCTCACAGACTTGCAATATCTTTCTTCAGTTTTCCTGAGTAGAGTACTTCATGCTACAGCACCTCAGTGACAGTTTTATGGGCACCCAGAGAAAGGAATCAAGTACCTTTTATTTGTAACAGCTTCCAATTCAAAGATATTGAAGTCCCAGCTTTCCTCATTATCCAGGAGCTGTGCAATACAAGGTGGAACATCATTGATAGTATTTGGCACTGAAAGGTGACTATGGCTCAGGTTCATATCTGTTGAAATAGAATTTGGGAATTACAGCATTTATGGATTTTTTCTTCCTACATGCAGTATTCTATTTAGAAAACAATTCTTTCAAGAAAAACAACTCCTTCCCTTACAGTACGAAGTTTGTAAAAGCCTACTATATGTGGTTTTTGTCACATCTGATTATCTAGAAATAAATGAAATAGATCAACAAATGACAATTTAGTTAAGTTTCTGGCCTGATTTTCTACATTTTAAATGCATTGTTTTAGCTATTTGAGCCTGTTTCAGATCCAAAATGGAGGCAGTCCAACACTCGCTCTACAGTCATTTATATGATCATTTCTGAAGACATACATCCTACTGCTAGCATTAATTTCTCTGTCATTAGCACCTACTTACAAATGAAATCACACACGCAAAGAGAAATTTAAAATGGTGGCTTACTCTTGGAAAACACATACTCATTTCCGGACAGTCTTCTCAAGCCATCCTAAAATAAACAAGGTTATTAGAAAATTATGGCAAAAATAATTTCCACGTCTCATTTCTTGCTAAAACACTCTACACGTACTCCCTCTTATCTACTGCACCGTGCGCTGAAAGTACTGTCCTACTTGTAGCACTACAATAGAATTATAAGTGTCATTCCTGCTTTAAAGTCTTTCAAAACAGACACGAAAGGATCCAAGGAACACTAGCATGAGACCTCCTGAAAGGATATTACTAACCATACAGTGTACTGCCCTTCTTGACCCCTCCATTCGCACTCGAAGCATTTCATCATTCACGTTAACCATCATCATTTATTTTCTGTTTCTGTTTCTAGCTCAGTGTTCATTACAAAATGGGGTAATCCACGTTGAAACCCAGGCAGTCTATTTTTGGCAGACAGCTTTGCTACTGTTAGAGGACCAAAGTCATACCTTGATGAAAGTAAAAGCCACTATTCTCATCTAGTTGTCAGATTGAGTAGCTGTAGAACAATCCCTCTAATTCCATCCATGTTTCTAGAGTATCTAAAAAGTATCCACTTGAGACAAGGCAGATCAGATGATACGGTTTCTTGTGGTGACTATGTTCACCACTATGAGAATGAATGCATCTGAGAGACTGAGATATAGCCGTCCTGGTACATAAGCCAAAACGTTTAAGTAAAACAGCAATACATTACAATTCTGCTTCAGCTGCTAATGGTAGCGGGTCACTGCACTGTGATGCATGACTCTGGTAACAGTGATTTCATCTTTACTAATTTTACTTACAGTCATCAGACCTCCAACAAGATCACTTGTGTGAGGATCCTCATCTTTGGTACCTAGCTGAGGGGAGTAAAGTTCTGTTGTCCGCAGGATTTCCAGAACTCTGTCCAAGGCCTCTGCTACAGTGATGGGGCTGTTTTCCTGGGCAGCATTAATTATGTTAATAACCTGAAAGCAGATTAGGGAGGTAGGCAAGGAAGAGTGAATACCAAATATTTTTCTAGCTATGTAACAGGACTAACTGAATTACACTATTTCCCATCTAGCAAATCCTGTGTAGTTTCCCTCAGTCCTTTAACTCTGAAAATGTAACTGTGTGCTTTGAGTGCCTGATACCCATCTGTTGTTTGTTACTGGCAGACTCCTAGGAAGTGAAAGCAGAAGGGTATGAAGTACCCAGAATAGCTATAGGCAAACAGACCAACACATAACCACATCACAGTTCTGCAGCACAGCCAAAGCTGCTCAGAAGAAATCACTTAGTCTCAAGGAAAACTAAAAACAAGAACACCTGTGAATCAGATATCCTCACAATGGATGTAAAGCCTTCATTTTCTCAAAGCAGGTGAAAAAGAGCAGAGAGCAGCAACAGTTGGGCTGTGAACAAGGGACAAGAGGATGGCTCTTTGTTGCCATTCACAGTATGTCTAAGTTGCTATACAGGAAAGTAGCAATGGCACAGCAACCCTAAGGACTGCTCCTGGCAGTGCCTGGACTCAGATAAAACTTCAGTCAGAACTGCTGCAGGGGCACGACTGGCTGTGCTTATGGAGAAGGAGAGGAGTTAGCTGCTGCAATGGAAAGGCAGGTGCTAGGAAGCAAAGAGCTTGATGATTAGAAGACTGGGAGAGTAAAAAATGGTTTGAGGACAGGAGATAGCAGGCATGCTGTTTGGTGGGATAAATTATCATGCAACTGGTTTGAGATAGCAGATAATGTAACATGGATGGTGAAGAAATGAGTGCAAGAAAGTAGGAAACAGAATGTAGTGCCGAGGCTGCCTCTTCTGTATGCTGTCTTAAAAATACCAATGACAAAAGCAAAGATGAGACTGTGAAGTACGTGTTCTCCTACATAAGCACAGACAACAAAGCAGGTTTCTTTTCCTGCCACAAGCAGAGCACCTAGCATGGACAGACACCCTTTTTACCTCTTCTGTCTTTTTCTTCATGATTAAGTCTTGGAATGAGAGGTGCAGACGGATTTAAGAAAGGAAAGTCTAACTTTAAATATTTTGTTAAATAAAAGATGCAGTAAAGGTCTGGCTGTACTGCCAAAAAACTATGTATTTCCCTATAAGGGCAACTCCAAACTCTGAGCCTGTAGAAAAGGCAATGCTCAGGACTCACCTTTGTGATAGGAGCTTCTATTGTCATTGAGTGGATCCTTGCCATAGAAGAGTACCGCCGGGTCTGTAAACTTGGAGCTGCCATGAGAGAGAGCACTGTTTAGGCACAGCAGAGTATAAATTAATTATCTGACACCATTTAGCCAGTGCCAAAGACTGCCATTAGGGAACAGCATGTTGGAATCCAGATAGTTTCTGTTTCTTCCCTATCTCTTCTTCTGCAAGTTTTTGCTTTGCTGTTCCTTTTCCTGCATTGTAGGCTGCCTCCAGTGCAGCCACCTCTCATTGCTGCTGTCAGTTTTTCTCCATCCGTCCGTCCGTCCGTCCATCCATCCATCCATCCATCCATCCCACACTTCAGCTATACCGAAAGAAAGCTGTACTTACACTATACTGTACTTCATGCCCAGCAACTCCCACTCTCCCCTTGTTTGCCGATGGACTTGAGTCAGCCACAGCTTTTCCTGTGAGCCCCTCATTTCAGTGTTGCAGCTGCTCTAATGAAAGCCATTATTGCACCCTATAAGGTGTGCTTCTCTCACTACACACTGAGGTAGAAGAAAATCTCTGCCACCACCGTCCCAGGCCTGGCAGGGAGTCATAGGTGGGATCAGGAGCAGCTCTGCTCTCAAGTAATCAGCAGAAATCAGTCCCTCCATGTCCCCCACCAATGAAGCCACCAGTCCTCTCAGTGAAGGCACCGTGCACTGATGCTCGTGCTGGAGCATTGCTATGCATTCAGAGTAAAGAATTTTTAAAGAAGTTGTAAGACACTGAAGAAATCTCTGTTCAATCACCCATGAGCCTGACTGGTTCCTCTTTCACTCTGTGTTTTTGCTGCCTCTGTTCTTTATTTCTAACTGTTTTCTATTTTCTTACCATCACTACTTTGTGAAGTTATCGACTTAACATCAACTGAGTCTTTCCTTCTGTTCTTGCATTTGAAGGAATGGGATTCTGTAAATGCAAAACAAAACCTTTTAAAATGTGCCAGTAACAAATGCTTTTCCAAACTCTGAACACTATTTAAATAATCTTTACGGTACTACGTAAGTGGGGAAATATTGTAATCTACAGCTCAGGACTGGGGACTGAGGGACTGAGATACAAACTTGGAGTACACGAAAGTATAGCAACTTGCCTAAGGACACCTGGAAAAATGCTGTGGAAGCACGACAAAACCATTAATGGAGCAGGGAGCTCACTTCACCTAACTTCAGCTGCCTAAAAGCAGCAGTCCTTCAGCCTGTCTTTACTTGAGGTAGCTATCAAAGACCTTTCTGCAGTAACAGAGATAGGCAGTGGCACACCCATTAACAGATCATTCTACTTCAGAGTGGACCCTTCCAGCAACCCTTCCTGTTGCTCTCTGCTGACCACTGGACAACCCTGAGCTTAACTGCCAGAAAGTTTGATAAGCGAGAAAAATCCCATCTTAGCCAACACTCTCCTGGCCCCAGCACAAGGATGAATCTGCTCTCTCCATATTCAGACAGCTTTTGTTTTTAATTTCAGTAATTATTTGTATGCTATTTAAGAAAAATGCAACATATTGAGAACAATTACAAACAATTAACCAGTTGCTGGGGAAATTAACCATGCACCACGCTGTCATTCTTGAAATTGCCATTTTCTAAAACAAATAAAAAAAATAAACAGAAACCATCATATTCAGACAAATGAAAAAGCCAGATGAAACTAACTCAAATAAATGACTGAAAAATGTCTCAATTATATATAAAAGAGCACTCAGCAAAATGCCATTTTCCTCCAACACAATGCAGTCTGCCCTCTCCTTTACCTTCAAAAACAACAACACTGTATCCAGGCACCTCTGCAAAAATCTTCATAGTGCCTGTTCACAGAATATCTGAGATACCACTCAAAGATCAGAGACCACAGAAGGCTTTCAAAAGGAGATAACCACTATGTGAAGAATCAGGACCAACCATCATCACCTTTGTCAAGAGTATATATATGCAGCCCCTTTGTAACAAAGCATTAGTATACAGCCCTCCAGAATTAAAAACATGATGAAAAATGATGAATATAGTTCCTGCCTTAAGAATTTGTCCTTGTCCACTGTGGAGAAACTGAAAGCATCTTTTCCTACTGATATCTAACAGCTAGATAATAAAAGCATGTCATTTTATTAATTCATTAAAGAATGACATTTTATTAATTTATTTAGTAGGACTCCAAGTCTAAATCCCTTTCCTACCTTAACTTTTGCAGATTTTAAAAGACATTAGAGTGAGAGCAAACATTTTTACACACAGACAGAGCTGCAAGTGGCAGCAGGAGGCAAGATAACCCTCCTTGTTCTTAATGTCAGCTAGCCAGCTGGAAACTTCGCTGGTGCCACCTAGAGAGAGAAACAGGCATAGAAAACCTACTCTACAGCAGTTGAAAATACTTAAAAAAAAAAAAAAAAAATTACCCTTCACCGGGTGAGTGGAATCTCTTCCCATCCAGATTTGTTACAAAACATGAAAAATTATAGAATCACAGAATGTCTTGGGTAGGAATGGACCTTAAGGACTATCCAGTTCCAACTTCCCTGCCATGGTCAGGGAAGGATCACACCCAGCCTGGTCTTGAACTCCTGCAGGGACAGAGGACCCACAGCTTCTATGGGCAGCCTGTGCCACTGCCTCACCACTCTCCAAGTAAATAATTTCTCCCTAATACCTAAGCCACCTGAAGGTTTAAACCAGTTTATGCTGAAGTTAGAAAAATAATCCATGTGTACTGAGTATTTTGTGAGGATGTGGCCAGCAGGGAGAGGGAGGTGGTTGTTTTCCTCTGCTCTGTTCTTGTGAGGTCCCATCTGGAGTACTGCGTCCAGTACTGGGATCCCCAGCACAAGAAAGATGTGGGGTTGTCTTACCTGTGCTGTGCCCAGACTAACAGTCCCTGTGACTTTTTGGCTACTTGCTTTAATTGTACCATAGCTATCAACATGACTTAAATGATATGGCTTTCCAGTCTTGCTTGTCACAGTAACAAGAAAGTCTAAACACCTAAATCTTTCAAACAGATTAGTACACTAACAACATTGTGTTAACTAGTAAGATGTATTCTGCAACTTAATTCACAGGTGTTCTCATCTTCCTCTGTTCGCAGACTCCATTACTAGGAAAGGAACAGTGAGAAAGAAAACCTGCATTTATTACAGGAACACAGCAGCAAACTGTCTAACACAATACGGATCAGTTCTAATGGCAACAATGATAACGAGGATATCAAATTGCATGTGTGGTCTCTTATCCCCACTCTCACCCTCCCTTGCAGATTTTATTCTGCACCATAAAGTTCTCCAATGCTTCTACATATTCTTATGTTACTTCGAAAAACAGTGAATGTCATGCATTCACTTCCTAATCTCTCAGTATGTTATATCCTTCCAAGTGAAAATCAGAAGCTGCCTGATAATGCATAGCAATGCTGCCCAGTGTTTGCTGTGGGAAAGGTCTTGGGTTCTAGAAAGCAACAGAGTGCAAGGACCTTTCTCTCAGAATAACGGAGTAATGCTGCATCTACCTCAGATCAATAAAAGACCATTGCAAACTTCAAATCATCCCTTAGAGTCTCCTCTAGGAGACCAGGGATGTCTAGGGAAAAGTGTTATTTAAACAGCACTGGAAGGAGTGATTATCTCCTTATGTTCCTTCCTGAAGTCACCTTTAGTAACTTCTGCAGACAGCTCTTGGCTGAAATCTTGAATCTGTCTGCAAGTAAACAGAGCTTCCTAAGACTCGGGGCAAGGGCTGTGCAGACCTTCTGCTACACCACCACCGTGCTCAGGGCTGATGGGACACGACTAGCTTCAGCCTGCACACTATAGAGAGGGTGGATACTCTGGCACAAATTGGCACAGCTTCACTTTTATTTCAAGCAGCAGGAAGTGATAAGGTACTTCAGCTTTGGGATGAGATACAGTGCTTTAATACAACAAACAGCAACACAACTTGTTTTGAACACTCTGCACAATAGATTGAATTATTATTGACTATTACAAACCCAGTTACAGTGCAACATTTGAGCAGTTGGCCTTCTTCTCTGAGCCCAGGCTCCACAGAGGGAGGAGACATTTCACAGCAACAAAAACTGGCCACGACTTCAAGGACAGAGGTATATAAAGGTAAATGATAATATTCTAACCTGACTGAGAATTGTCTCCTGAATAATTCTCATCACGGTGACTCTTGCAGAGCTGAAGGTGCACCAAGAGTAAATTACGTATGTAAAGGAAAAAAAAAAACAGAGAGATTTAAAAAGAGCTACATTCAACACCGTCCTTATCCAATATTTACTATTACTTTCAAATAAATAAATAAATAAATAAATACTTAAATAAATAAATAAATAAATAAATAAAGAAAGAAAGAAAGAAAGAAAGAAAAGACTCTCCTTCAGGTGTAATTAAAAGTAGAGAAATAATATGAAAGCAAACAAACATTCAGTGCAGGAAACAACAGTGCTTTTATGTAGGAACAGTCAGTTCCTGTTTAACTTCCAAGTCTGTAAGAGATCTGAGGTTCCTTTTTAGGTAACGTTTTAAGTACAAATTTCATATGAACGTGAAAAATTCCAGAAATAAAATGCAAAAATAGAGGGAAAAAAAATACTAAGATGTTATTCATTTCTTGTCCTCTGTACAGTGTTTTTGACATTATTTTCTTTGTACTGTCTAAGCCAATTTTGTATACACCCTTTCATGGACTAGTGATACAATGGATTTTCAAAAAAGACAGAAAAAGAACACTTGAGATACTGTGGAGAAGATAGGTCTCATCCACCAGAAATTCATTTTTCAGTGATTTTTAATCAGTCCCATGAATGAAAAAACAAAAAACAAAAAACAAAAAACCAAAAAAACAAACAAAAAACCCCCCCAATATCTAATTTGTTTGTGTTTCTGAAACACCTGAAAATTTAATAGATATTTCCGTTTTTTCTAGAACTTAAGTAGGACTTTTCCACCATCTTATTGGTTCCACCTACAGCTTGGTTGTACAATAACAAATTAAAAACTTTTCTGCTTTTCCATCCCTTTCAGAAACGAACACACAGTCTGTCCAACATGTGACAGCTTAATATCTGCTGGCCACTTCAGCCCATACCTATTTACTCTAGACAAACAAGCCTTGAAACTCAACTCTACTCAAGATGAACAGATGCTGCATTTGCACATCTTTCATTATACATCATACCGAGGAATCCAGTGCATTTACCTCATCTGTGGTAGGTAGTTCCTTTGATCAAATCCATTGCCTGCCTGCCTGCCTATAACAAAGCACTAGATTGCAAATTCATGGTTGCAACCAACGAGTAAAAAGTGAAGTACATCAAGATAGCATCTATGCACTCTGTGTCCATGTGACAGAGCACGGTGTTGTGCTGCTTTAGGGATTACTCAGGAAAGAAAAGAAAAGAATTACATGAAACCTCCTTTTCATCACTCCTGAACCCCTTCCATCTTGTTTTCCTTTTTGCTTCTGGGGACAGGACATAAAGAAAGAGAAGAGAATGAAGGACAAAAAACAAAATTAAGGTGTGCTTTCCTGTGTGGGGTAAGAATTAAAAAAGGAAGAGGAAATCCTGCAGTAATGTTCTACGTAAATCTTGTTTGAGAGAATTTAAGAGGACACTCTTCCCTCATAAAACTCATTTTAAAAGCTTAAACATCTCTCCTACAATTATGCAGAAACTCTCACAGAAATTATCTCAACAGAATAAGATTGTGGAAGCTTGTCATATAGTACATTGATACAAGGCATTTGAACTGCTCATTCCAGTCCAAAACTGGAGTTCTTGGATATATCTCTTCCTGCTTCCCACTACTGAAAGAAAACCCTGGCACATTCCTCATTCATATGAAAAATAAACTGCATTTTTGTACTTCTGAAGTATTTCTCTTACCCCTTGCTGTAGGCATGACATCAAAGAGCCACGTAAGTTAAGAAATGAGAGCTGTTACGTAGTTTATCTTGAACTGATAAGCTCATAAAAGGCGAAACAACACCTCTGTTATAAATACAAGGATGCACAAACACTGGAGAAAATCCTGCCAGGCCTCACTTCACAAACTTAATTAATCATTACCTAGGCTTCAGCACATAGGATCAGTCACATGAATGTCAATCTCCATTCGCAAATCTCCACAATATGAACACTTAGTACAGTCTCAGATGTATTATTTTCTATGAATAAATCTGTTCATTTTTCATATGTATTTACATGGCACAGTGGCTTCTCGCAGTGATTTCTAATTACGCTGTAATATCGAATGCTGTGATAGGCTTTAGAGAGACTGTCAGTAATGATGAAGAACATGTTTATTTAAATTTTAAAATGTGAAACAGTGTACAGAGTCAAAGAAACATAGAATGGCAATAGTTGGAAGGGACCTTAAAGACCATCAACTACCAACCCCCTGCTTGTGGGCAAGGCTGCCCTCCCACCAGCTCAGGCTGCCCAGGGCTCCATACAATCTGGCCTTGAGTACCTCCAGGGATGGGGCACCACAGTTCCTCTGGGCACCTGTGACAGGGCCCCACTGCCCTGACTAAAAAATGTCTTCCTCCTCTCTCATCTGATCTCTCCTCTTGCAGTTTAAAAGGGCCCTGTCCTATCCCTATCTTTCCATGAGAGGTGGGTCCATGCCAACCTCATGAAGTTCAACAAGGCCAGATGCAAGGTCCTGCACCTGGGCTGGGACAGTCCCAAACATAGACACAGGTTGGGTGGAGAATGACTTGAGAGCAGCCCTGCTGAGAAGGATTTAGGAGTGTCAGTTGAGGAAAGATTCAACATGAGCCAGCAATGTGCACTTGCAGCCCAGAAGACCACCATATCTTGGGTTGCATCAAGAGAAGAATGTGACCAGCAGGTCAAGAGAGGTGATTTTGCCCCTTTATTCTGCTCTCGTGAGACTCCACCTGGACTACTGTGTCCAGTTCTGGATCCCCCAACACAAGAAGGACATGGAGCTGTTGGAGCAGGTCCAGAGAAGGGCTACGAAGACGATCAGAGGGCTGGAGCACCTCTTCTGTGAGGACAGGCTGAGAGAGCTGGGGCTCTTTAGCCTGGAGAAGAGAAGCTCCAAGGAGACCTTACAGTGGCCTTCCAGTATCTGAATGGAGCCTACAGGAAAGCTGGGGAGGGACTTTTTATAAGAGCAGATAGTGACAGGACAAGGGGAAATGGTTATAAACTGGAAGAGTAGATTTAAACCAGACAGTAGGAAGAAATTCTTTACTGTGAGGGTGGTGAGACACTGGAACAGGCTGCACAAGAGAGGTTGTGCATGTCCCCTCTCTGGAAGCATTTAAGGCCAGGCTGAATGGGGCTTTGAGCAACCTAGTCTAGAGAGAGATGTCTCTGCCTACGGCAGGGAGGTTGGAGCTAGGTGATCTTGAAAGTTCCTTCCAACTCAAATCATTCTATGATTTTATGATTGGAAGGCCATGTCTCTATGGAGCCTTCTCTTTCCCAAGCTAAAGAAACCCAGCTCCCTCAACCTATCTTCATAGAAGAAGTGTTGCAGCCCTCTGATAATCTCTGTGGCTCTCCTCTGGACCCACTCCAATAGATCTGCATCCCTGCTGTACTGGGAGACACAGACCTGGATGCAGTGCTCCAGTTGGGTCCTCACAAGAGCAGAGTAGAGGGGGACAATCACCTCCCTCTCCCTGCTGGCCACTGCTCTTTTGATGCAGCCCAGAACACAGTTGGCCTTCCCAGCTGCAAGCACAAGCTGCTGACTTGTGTCCAGTTTATTGTGCACCAGAACCTTTAAGTACTTCTCCACAGGGCTGCTCCCAGTGAGTTCTTCTCCCAGACTGTGTTCATAGTAATTCATGAATGTTTGTAAGCTTCCATATGTTATCATAGAATCATATCATAGAATCATAGAAAATGATGCTGTGGGTGTGTGCCTGAGTTGAAAAGGACCACAAAGATCATCTAGTTTCAAAGCCCCTGCCACAGGCACGGTCACCAACCACTAGACCAGGCTGACCAGAGTCACATCCAGTCTGGCCTTAAATTCCTCCAGAGATGGGGTATCCACAACCTCCTGGGCAACCTGTTCCAATGTGTCACCACTCTTTGAGTGAAAAACTTCCTCCTAAAGGAAGTTATCTGAATGTTGAGTTTAAGCCATATATGATTATGCTGATGCACTGTAGCATTAGTGATTTGGATCAAAACTTGAATCATGACAGATACTATCCTGTAATTAAATATGTACTTCATTTGATTTCCTTGCATGCTTCCATAACAAAATATTTTTGTTCTGAAAATAACCCCCATATATTTTATGGCAGAATAAATTTCTATTTATCTGAGTATTCAGAAGTGGATGTCAGCATTTGCCAAGTAGGACACTTCTCCATATTTTTAATTATCTGCAGAAAGTGTTCTGAGAGAATAATTAAAATCCTCAACAAAAGCTGAATACAAACTGAACTAGAAGAAAAAAACAGTGGAGGAAAACAATTGTGCAAATATTCTATTTGTCACAGAAACAAGTCTTTCCGGAGTTGTTTTTCAAAGCAAGAAATAGTGAAATGTTAAGAAATGTGCTTTTCTTTTGCTTCACTGAAGACAACAGCAGTGTACTTGCAGCAACCATTGGGGTCCCAGCCCCCCTGGCAGGCACCCACTGCCTTGAGCTGCCCAGAGCCATCGCCTTGCACCAGCCTCCCAAAGGCTGGTGAGCATGGTCTGAGCAAGGTGACGAAGCCACCACATACACTGACAGTGCTGTGGTGTGGGCTCCTCGGTCAGGAACTAGGTGAGTGTCCAACATAAAGTGCAAATCTCATCAGACCCACACATTGACCAGTGCTGGAAAAAAAAAGGATTTGGGCCAGTCTCATTGTTTATCTCACAGGGTACCAATCTTTCAAGGAAATCCCCAAAGAATGGCAGCCTCAAAACTTCAGGAACTACACTGACTCCACCATCTGGACAGGACAAGACATCTCAGCAAGAGGCAGTAGCTTAGAAGGTCTATATATTCTGGATGTTCTGGCTGGCTGAGACCTCCTGGCCAACAGAAGCTGCAGCTGCAATGCTGATGCACATAGGTGGCACCTCATGAAAGGATGTCAAGGCAAGCATGGGCTATTTGAGCCCCATGGCATGGAAAAATTAAGAAGCACCCTGTTGTACCTGAAGCAGTTTCTAGTGCCTGAGGGCACATAATCAACTCACCCAGCTGCTGCATTATCAAGGAAGAGGCATGTTCTTTTTACAGGAACATACTGACACAAAACAAGAGATGAAAGCAAGGGACTGCCTTCCAGTAGAACCCAAGGATGAACTCAGAGCATCTAAAGAAATAGATAAGATTACTTGCTCTGAAACCAAAGAATAGGAGTGCTTGTAATGGGCTTGCCTACACTGGAACTTCATTCTATACAATTCTTTGCTCAATCTCACTTGACTCAATGGCAGCACATCTTCAGTGCATTAGGGGGGAAGGGAGAAAGTGGCTGTATCTCAGCGCAAGCTCTGTGTGTGGTCTTCTTACTCAAATTCTCTGCAATTGCAGACAGAATGCCATTAACTGTTGAATTCCTCAAGCTTTGAAAACATTTATTTCACAAATACAGAAAACCTACACAGGTAGACACTTGCCCTCGTTTCCCTGTTTCCAAGAGGATGGTGTACAGCATTTGAAAATATTGCAGTGTACTGAGAATTAGAAACATACAGAGAATCATAAGGCTAAGTGAACCAAATCCAACAGGTAATTTTTATACCTTAGGGGCCATTTTATTAACACTGTATTTGTATTAAATAACTGATAAACTTATTTTTAATTTTCATCACGTTTTCATGTTTTTTGAGTCTGTCCCACCAACTGCTGCAGAAAATGAAACCTTCCTGCATAAGTCAGTAGTGCTTTCTTTTTCGTTGAACCTCTCTTTACCACAAGAGGGTGCAAAACTGCAGTGTTCAAATGCTGATCACAAAAAAATCTGAGCAGCATCACTGCAGAAGTAATTGTAGGAAATAAATTGTAGGAAGTCTTATGAATACAGTACAGATATTATTACACACAACCACCATCCCCAATCTAAACCATAACAAGACCTCAAGATGCTGTTAAGAGTTTTCTATTTGATGCCAGAGCATCTGATACTGTACTAGAGGCAGGAGAGATTTTTACCACACACACACACAAACACACAGACAAAACAAACAAACAAACAACAACAACAAAAGCCCACCTAGGTTTGTGGGCAGTACCTTATTTTTTCCCATATAGACCTTCAATCTCTACAGAATATATTTTCTGTCAGGTTGTAATCTTTAACCATTGTAGTAGATTTCTGTATCTGTTCAGAATGTTTCAGAGGTCATACAAACTTGTCTAAGACTGCCCAGGCATAAAGATCATTGTATTTGTGCTTTATTTACTAATAACTGCTCATCATTCAGTACTGAAAAACATGAACTGATTGTGCTTTCCAACAGTGCCAGTAGTGTAGAGAGCATGGCCTTTGACACATATTTGTCAATAACATTTATTGTTAAGGTTACTTGCTTAGTCCAAAGAACTGGAAGACCTCCACTGCTGGTTTTTGGTGTTCTTTTTTTTTCTTTTTTTTTTTCTTCCCTGTTTTTAGCTGATGACTGCAAGCCTGTAATTGTTTTGTACTGATCATCTTACATAAACAGTATTGCATTTACACGGCACCAGCCTTTCAGCTGTGTGTACACTGTAGAAAAATACATCAAATGGTACCTCACTTTCAAATCAACATCAAAGCAGCTGTAAATGAAACAACATGAACAATGAGGTTTTACTAATGAATAAAAAAAGAAATACTGTGTAACGTTAGTACTTCTTCCATTACAAAAGTTTCCTGCACTCTAGGCTGTACTTTTAAAATTCTGCTACTGTAAATTATACCTTGCTGCTAATGCTAAAATCAGTTTTTTGATCCAAACAGGAGGTCAGTTTATAACATCTCAAGCATTGTTTTTAAGTGGCAGAGGTTCAAATTTCTTCCAGAAGCTATGCGTACTTCTTTGTTGACTTGATACTATCTCTGCAACAGGCATGGTTTCAACTAACAGACAATTTTATAGAATATTACCTATTAACTTCCAATACTTTTCTTCCAGTAATCTATTACTAAGGATAGACTTGTTATACTGAAGAACAGGCAACTAGAAATCCTAGTGACCTTACACGCATCTTTATGCACACACTGTCTTTATCCTCAGATACATAAAAGCACATTTAAAACTTTATACAAAACAATATATCCAGTTCCTAAAACCTATGTTTTAGGAAAAAATGGAAATTATAGGAAATGTATCATACTCCATAAGCACATCCTCAGTTTAAATGTTAGCAGCTACCCCTTACGCTCCCTACCTTCAATCTCACTCCCACAGACCACAGGTAGATTTCACTCTTTGACTCAGAGAAGTCCAAAATTTCTTATTCCACTGGTTTTTGAAGCAAAACATACATGCTCATTGGCTTCAAAGGCTCTTTCAGATAGTGTGCAGGAGCAGATCAGCCAAACAGCTTCTCATGCCTCCACAGTTTTCACAGGATCTGGTGGACATGTGCCTGAACATATGTGAACACATGTGCAAGGAACCTCCAGTCTCCCAGTATGTGCCCACTACACCATGTCCTGGCACTGGGCACCACTGAAAAGGGCCTGGCTCCATCCACTTTGCAACCTCCCTTTCAGATACTTATAGACATTGATGAGATTCCCTGAGCCTCCTTTTCTCTGGGCTGTACAGTCCCAGCTCTCTCAGCCTTGTCTCACAGAAGAGATGCTCCAGTCCTTTCATCATCTTTGTTGGACCCTCTCCTCTATGCACAGGTCTCTCTTGTATGGGCGGCCAAGGACTGGACACAGCACTCCAGTTGTGGCTGCACCAGTGCTGAGCAGAGGGGAGGAATCACCTTTAACCTGCTGAGAGCACTTTGCTGAGTGCAGCCAAGAACCACTGAGAGTGGCTCGAATTATGGCTTGGATTGCAATTACATTCCTCCACAGTAGACACAATATGGAGTATATGATATCTCAGGTCCTACACCAAAGGCAATACTACACAATTTTTATTTTATTCAAGATCCACATATTTACAGATCTTTTAACAGCTGAGTGTAGGTCATTATCAAACATAAGTCAGATCAGACTGTCAGAAGATGTAGAAAAAACATCTTGAACTCCCTTTCCATTATGTACATGATCCTCCCTAGTACTACAGACTCAGCTGTCATATCCACGTTCCAGAGAGTAACAGTCTTTCTCAACTCAGCAGTCCTACAATAAGAGAACAGCCCAGCAGAAAAAGGCTAAGCTCAATGCAAATACTTTTTTTTTTTTTTTGCTTGATCCAATAATCAGTGATAATCTGGCAACATTTTTTACGAGAGGATGTGATCTACATCAATTTCTTAAGCAAAAAATATAATTACTAAATGAGATGAGAATTATGACATCAAGAAACACCGTACCTGCTTGTTGCTTTCATTAGTATAACGCAGCCTTTTGAGGGACACAAAGTGTCTGATCTTCCTAGCAACAGAAATAATCTATTGTTATCACATCAGATGGTAAAGAGGGAAGCAAAATGACATACTGTTATTTTTTTTAAGCTGAATTCTTGATGCTTTAATGGAACAAGATAGTAAAACCAACACCAAACAACTGACTGAGCAACAAGCAGTGAAACAGTTGTGTTTTTGTTCTAAGACACACGACTATGCTGATGCTGAAAGAGTTCACTCACACATCTGGGAGCAGAATTTGGCAACATGCACATCATACATGGCAAAAATGCAAGCATATGCAAGTGTGCACACAAAATGAATCACCTGGCTGCTGACTCTTTCAATTGCCTGGTTAACAGTTTGAATACTTTGGAGTAACTTCACAGAGAAATGCATGGTTACATCAACACAAACACCAATTTTCAGCTCTGTATAACAGCAACATTATCTTATGCTTTCACAATTTTTTAGCCAGCAAGGGAAGACACCAAAATGGACAAATCAGTAAAAATCATGGCCTTCTTAATTTTGCAAATTTTTCTTGCACTGCTTGAAGTCAGCAGCATTATCACCACCCTGCTCCTTAATACATGGAGGTTCATATCAAATGCATGGATAGGGAAAGCACAGAGAAGGATTAAAAGAAAAAAAAAAGCAAGTGCGTTCTGGAGATGTTAATTACCCTCCTTGACCAATCACTGGTGTTATCTTCACATGTTGCTGGATACTGTCTCCAGATTTTCTTCTTGCATAGTAAACTCCTTGCCATTCCTAAGAAAACATGCACAACAGAGAGCATCTAACAATACACAGTTTGCAGTCAAATATTCATTATTCATTTATTATCGCCTTGTCCTATGTAGTAAACAGTTACATACTGTTTTATGTTTATATTCTAAAAAAGTGTAAAATCTTGTAATCCTCAGTGCTGCCTTACGCAGATATTTGCTTGTCTAAGGACAGTGTAAACTTTTTCATATGTTTCTCTCTTCACAAGTGCCCAATATTTTCAAAAAAGTTTAGGAATCAGAGGAACAGAATTCAGATGAGATATATGCAGCTCGAGAGAACAGAGTCTCGTGTTTTTAAACCCAGAGCTTAAAAAATAAAACAGACTGGAAATCCAAATTAGAATTGCCCAAGCTGATTTTAGCTACTTACCTTTCCTTTTTTAATACATGCGTTGATAGTGTCTGACAGATCTGCACGGTTTTTATCACTTTTTGGTAGCTCAGTAAGTTCCTTGCCAATGAGCTCTCCCTTCTGATACCCCATCATCTGCTCGAAGGCCGGATTAACATACTGTGAAACAAAAGAACTTCAGGATAAGAAGGACATACTTAGAAGATAATTACTCACATAAACCTATCAAAGTATTTCAGGGTATGCGCCTAAATCCAAAACCACACATCCCTGCACATCTGTCACAAAAAATATTATGCAAATGGTGAAACACTTCACTTACATTTGTTAGATACATATTTATTTACTTATTTATTTATTTTACAGAAGGAGTTGAACATAGAATCTGATATAGAAAACATGGAAAACCCTTTACTGTACAGGTTATCTACTTCTGCAATAGATTTCATGTTCGTTTTCCTACAAGCAACTGGAAATGATCATCTGAGTAAAGTTAGAAAAGGAAATGTGGTAGAAATTCAGCAAGTATCAACAGGCAGCATCCAGAAATGCTGCAGAAGTATGGCAACAAAAGCAAAACACTGAATTAGAAAAGACATTACAGAACAAAGATTTCTTTGGGATTTCTGTCTTTGAATTCTACAAAATGATGGATTTTTCCCCCATACCTGAATAACACGATCTTCACTGGTTATTTCTATAGCTTCCTGACAATGTTCTAATGCTGTAAATACTGCATTACATGCCCTGAAATTAGCAAATGATTCACATTAGTTTTATTGTTAGAACATTTTGCTTATCGTAAACAGATTATTGCACTGTATTTATTCATGGATTAATCACAAATTGGCATGCTGTTTCAACCAAACCAGGTAGCCATCACCATTATAATTAATTTTTGGACACTCCCATTGCTGATATATTTTTCTGAGACCACACTGTAAAATTGCTCACAGGCATCGCATTGCTTAATAGCAAGTTGCCTTTTCCAAACACCTTTTATAGAGCAGAAAGTAAAAATTAGTAAAAAAAAGAACAAATGGCTGCATACATTGCAATAGAATGTTTTGTGAACAACAAGGATGGGGAACACAAAAATCAGCACAGCACATTTTATGAATCTATGTATATAAAATATATCCTAAGATGTACCCCAATAAAATATGTCCTGATATACACATACATAATATGTGCTGTGCTTATTTTACACGTGTACATACAAACATACATATAAGTATATATATATATATGCAGAAATGTATAACAAATGGACCTCGATTATCAAAGAAGTTGTAATGCTACACAATTAGAGGAAACGATTTAAGCCATCACAAAATCCTAGTCAGAAAAATATCACTTTTCCTGCTTTCAATTTATAATTCAGTGGCTTGACTTTCATACAGGCTAGTCTTAATTAAGGGCAAAACTAATCCCACCTTCCATTTTTTCAGGGCTATCCTTGAACTAATGCAGGAAAACAAAATCTTTACCCTTTTACTACAGGACTGATACTGCTTAAACTATAATTTACACAGAATGGGATTGAAATAATGTTATTTAATGCTAATTAATTATGTTAATTAAAACTATGTATTAATTAACACAATAAACTATGGAGATTTAGTGCATACTAAAAGACACAACTCAGACAAACGTGCTGTGATAGATCCCAGTCCTTTTTCTGGCCTAAATTCAGACCAATTATCTGCTATGTATGTCTCACTGCGTGGAGCATAAAATGCACCATGCATAAACATCCTTGTATACATCTATACCTCGTGGAAATGTCTTGCTCACAGACTGATCAGTGCATGGTTAGCACAGAAGTATTCTACCTCTGCATTAAGGAATATAGGATGTTGGTAGCTTTGCTCATCATGGAAGTAACTCAGAAACAAATTGGAAAGGAAATACACATGAAGACATACATACACAATGATGTGGATGAAGATTTGTAGGAAGAAGCATTGTAAGTGGAAGACAACTATACTCCTTCAGTTTATGCAATAAAATGAACTATCAGTGTAATTTTACAAGGGACAACCCAGCAGTTCACGTTTGCTCCATGGTGTGATTTTGTGCTGTGCAAAATAACTGAGTTGTATCAGTGATAGATACTCATCTGGCAAGCTAGCACTAACAAGTCATTAAGTAAACTTTCTGCAAGAAAACACAGAGCTGTTTTGAACTGTTTGTACTATTCAAAACCTACTTCTTCATTTGATCTGGCAATCAAGCTAGTTTTGGTAAATGCACATGTCCCACAGGTCCCAAAAAAACTTCAGAACAAAAGAAACAAAAAAATCTGTCTAAGAAACAGTGTACCTGTCTGAAATAGGAAAGACAGTTCTGTTCACTGAAGTGACTTCAGATACTGCTTCCCTGGACTGGTCCAAAATTCTCATAGACTTTCTCTTCTATGCAAACACCTAATGGGTTTTGTCCCATTGATTTACTTTCTGAGAACATTATGTCTTTCTTTTCACATATACAAAGACATATCAAAGACCAGGAACCCTGTGAGATAATACACAGTGCAACATTTTTTTTCCTCCATTTCATTAAACCACAGAGAGTAAAGCAAATTTTAACCAAGTGGGGCTAGCAAATCTAGTGGTGCTTATTTTTTCATGGTAAACTCCATCAAAACATCTGCCTCTCTGGGCAAAGGCAAGAAGAAGTCCTCTGTCACAAGGCATCAGCTTCTATAAGTTACAAGTATGCCTTCTCAGAAAATTCAGAAGGCTTTCAGAAGGCTATTTCAATCCCCCAGGTGTTAGCACAAAGCTTGTTGCACTAAAAAGAAAAAAAGTAGAATTTAACTCCTCTGGGTCTGTCTTGGGCAGTGGCAGCAACAAACTCCAAAATACCACACCTATCCTGCTGTGGTACCAAAGCTTTCTGAAACAGCAGTGCACAGAGGTGATGTAAATATACAGACATACAAATGTGTAGATAGATACTTGATGCACTATTAATGTACAAAACACATGATAACACAGAAAACATCTAATTTGCTATACATTCACATAAATTAAAGGGATGGAGGTTCACAGTTTACATAGCTAAAATTAGAAGAGTAAAAGCAAGCCAAATTACAAGTGGGTGGTACAACACTGTTTACATAAATAATACAGAAAAAAGAATTGTCAGTAGCTGAAAAGCTTCTGAGGACTGACACTCTCCTCCAAATTTCAAGATTTTTTTATTGGTGATAGTTTTAAATAATCTCACAGAAAAATATGGCAACCAATATGTGAATCATGTTCCCTGTTTCTGAGTTTTAATTATCTGCATTCATAGTTGAGATCAGTAACAGAGAGATGCTTAAACTCTCCTGGCACCAAATTCTTCAAGTAGGTTATTCCATGTGTTACAGCAGGTAATTTTCAATGAGAAGGACATAAAGTTTATAACAAAAATAAATAAAGAAAAACAAAACATAACACAAGAAGTCATTGACACATGTTTTAGAGAAACAGAAGGATAATTTCCACTCTTTTATGCTTCGATAAACACTAAGAGAGAGATGGAAATGGCAAAAAGCTACTACACACAGAGTAATAAGCAATGAATGTCCTCAGCTAGGAAATTAAGGAGGTCATCTGCACATGTTTTTATGGTTTCTGGTAAGAGTCTTACTTGATACATCATCAGGCAACAAAGTGGAATGCTGTCTGAACTGAAGAAGAGTAATCCTCAAGACGATATCCAACAGCTGGAAGAAGTTTCCTTTTTGTCCACAGTATGCTTGTTATTACAAAATCTGGTTTATTGGACCTAAACACAAGCTACAGGTATTCCTTGTATGAACATAAACTGATGTTTGCTAACTAAATTCACACTGCATTTACAACTGAGCCAAGTCACATTCAGCTCTAATTAACTTCTAAAATTTCTGTGCTTTTTTTTTCTTTCTTTCTTTTTTCTTCTTCTGCTGAGCTTTGGAAAATACATATTAAAATTGTGACAGCATGAACCCTATTCTTTTTCCTGAAAATTCTACTACAATCATATTTTGCATACACAAGCACATATTTGCTTGAACATTAAGTTCCTTTGTGATAGTTTTGTGAATGGAATCTTAAAAAAATGTTCTGCCTAAGCAGCAGCACTGACTCCAGTAGAGAAGCGATATTATTTTCTGTAGAAGGAACTGCAACTCATTTATGGGAATCCAGATAAATATGCTTTCTTTGTGTGACAACTCAAAGGTCTTTTTTTAATATATAGTTGAATTGTAAAGATATTTACATGTAGGTGAAAGCACCAGTATTAAATATAAAATCAGTCATATTAAACTGATTATATAATTATGTATTCTTTTTTATCTTAGGAAGATAATTTTACAATTAAATATTTCTTATTAAGAAAAAAATTGTGATCTTGATTTGGCACAAACAGAGTATGAAGGGCCAGCCCAAGACTGAGCTCAGCTCAAGACATGAAATCTCACACATATAAGATTAAGAATGACTTTGAGAAATTTTCCTGACATGTCACTTTGCAGCCCAAAAACCTTTCTTACACACAAGTCAGCATTAAAGTGCTACCCTTCAATTAAATGAACAGAAGCTGTTCCACAATATTTCTGCTAAGGGATCTCATTCTGATTGCAATACCAGTGATGAATGCTGTACTATTGCCAAACTCAACGTGGGCATCTCAAGACATACGGGCATAGGCAAGCATCAGAATAAAGGACAAGTACTGCATTCTGCATTAATGAAAACTGTCATTTAAACCAGCAGTGAATGAAGAACATCAACAAAGCTTTCTAAAGGTACCACTTACTAAAGCTCTTAAATTTGTCCTCTTTTGCCACTGATCAAGGAACGAGGCTGTAGGAAATGGTTAGCATATGAAGTACACATATCTGCAGTTGGGAACGTAGACCAAACAGTCTTTATTTCTTATGCCTTCTTATATGTCTACATACCGTAATTTGAACTGAGATCGCACTTCCCCATGTTCTATTTGAATGAGTTCATTGTAACAAGCAGTTATGCTGCTATTCTCCATGAATTGCTGGAAAACAAATCAAGAGTGCATGAAATAGAATGGAAGGTTTGTAATCTATTATTCCTGTTCTTGCATCTAAAAATCTAACATTATAAAGAGAGCTGGCAACAGGACGACAAGGGGCCATGAAAATGGGACCGGAACATCCTTCATATGAGGAATGGCTGGAGGAGCAGAGACTGGTCAGGACAGAGAAGAAAAGGCTCAGGAGAGACCTCATTAAGGTAAAATAAATACCTGAAGAGAGTGCAAAAAGAACAGAGACAGGCTCTCTTCAGTGGTGCCCAGTGTCAGGATGAGAAGCAATGGGCACAAAATGGAGTACTTGAGGTTCCTCCCAACACCAACTTGCCAATGTCAGGATGATAGCTGGACTTGATGATCACAAGGATCTTTTCCAACCTAAATGATTTTATGATTCTCTGCTGTGTGAGTGGCTGAGCACTGGCACAAGTTGCCCAAAAAGGCTGTGAGTCTCCTTCTTGGAGATGTGCAAAAGCCACTTTGACATGGGTAATCCGCTCTAGGTGTCCTGCTTGGGCAGGGGTTGGGCCAGATGGACCCAAAGGTCCCTGCCACCTCAGCTATTCTGGGATTCTGTAGAAATGCTGTCATTGCGCCTTTTGTGTTAAGCAATCATCTATTCCATGGGAATGATTCTCTAGTCACTATGACAGTTTTGCTAGCTAAATACAAAGTGAGTATAAAAATATGCTGAAAACACAACTGTCAGCTTTGCCACTAGGTTCTAGGTATTCAGTTAGAAATAGATAATCTAAAAAAAACCCAACAGTCTCAAGTAAGATCAGTAGCATTTGGATGTTTCATTAGGAACACCTACGCCTTAATTCAGAACAGGAACAGAATACCTTAAAGACATAAAATATCCATGCTAAAAATTAAAATAAATTTAATGACATTTGGCATTTCATCTGTTTTCAAGTAAGTATTGTAGCTGAAACTCACACACTGTGGTAACTTTAATTCATAAGTAATGTCAGTGAGCTGTCACTTTTGAATTCAAAAGTGCAGAAAAGTAAAATTTGACAGTTGTTAACAAGACTCTTTTATATGCTCCAGATGGAAAGAATGTCCTCTGTTTGTTATGCAGAAGCAGTTAGCAGAGAGGTATTGTGCTTGGTCCAGCTGCAATGAGAAACTTCACATTCATCACAAAAGTATTACCACATTCTCTGACTTCAGTTCAAGTTTACTGCTCACTAGTAAACTTCTGCTGTGAGGATTTACATCAGTGATTTGTAAATACATCTGTAGATTCTGCTTTTCACAGAAAATACTCTGTGACATCATTAGTTTTTCAGAGTACAGCTGCATGCTGAGTCAAGAGCCAGCAGCCAGATCTGTCAAGGACAAAGAGCTTTGTCTGAGGAATGTTTACTTCTCCCTTTTATGAAAAAATGTGATTTGGGAACCAACGGCTTTAGCCCAAATTTAAAACTAACTTACCATGGGCCTACTTCACTTCTCCGTTTAAGATATTAAATATTTCTATAACTGTTACTTTTCATAGAAGAAAAAAGACATTAAGGCTGATGTATTTGTAGGTGTATTCCCCCCCAAATATTAAAGGAGCTCTAGGGAATCTTCAGCTCTGAATCCCATGTAGAAATTGAAGTTTTGTCTATAAAATTCTAGAAAAAAGTAACAGACTAATTGGTTACAGAATCAGACACTTTATTAATCAACTTGGAGTTGCACTTAAAGGACAGGTATCATAAAACAGAACAATTACAATTAAGTTTTGTCAAGCTAAGGAGGAAGAATGGGAACTAGTATGACAAATGCTGATACACTGAATAGTGATAATGCAAAATAAACTACTGGAATAGGTGGAGTATAAAAATAAAGTTAGGGAAGATAAAGCTGTAATTTGAGCAGATGGGATTTTTCAAAAATCGATTTTATTACAACGTTGAGGAAAAGATCCCTGGATGTGCTGTCCCTCTACTTGGAGAAGGTGTTTATTTGGGGTTTTTGTATCTTTTTGTTTTATAAAAATAAAAAAAAATGTATACATATATTTGCAAGAAGGCAAGATCTATTACCTCTTTCTGGCGATGTTCCACAGTGGTGACACAGGTGCATATTCTTTTGGCGAAGAAACTCAGGCTTAGCATGAATTAGCTCAGATTCTGGACTCAGTATGAACCAATAGGATAATGTTCTGACTGGGATAATTCTTCTAAATATATACATTTATTCCCCCCTAACTACAGAGCCTACTGATGAGCTCCTATTGATTAACTTTCTTATGAAGAGCTAGCTTTAATATTACAGATGCTTTATGTTACATTAGGAAACATTAATGACCACCCAAAGCCACTCAAACAAAGGCTAGAAGATGGTAAGTAAATGAAGCTAGACTTTCAGAACCGAGAAATCACTGCTCTCCACTACAAAAACATATTAAGAAACAGCAATAAACAATTATTTCCTCCTCTGGTTTCTTGTATAGGACAGCTTATAATGTTCTGAATAGAAACGGTTCACACAAGGTAACAACTCAATTCAAACCTCACTGAAAAAAAAGAAAACAAAACATCATCCTTTTTCAATTCAGCAAGAGCAGGACTAGGCTGGTACTCCATTCAGAAAAGATTCCTAGTATGCACACAAACATGTCTAGATGACTAGGCACACATTAATTAGGGTGCCATGCCTTTGATTTTTAAATGCACTCATAAACAAAATCCACTCAGCATCTGTACAGACCACATGGATTTAATCATAGAATCATTAAGGCTGGAAAAGGTCTTTAAGATCATCCAGTACAACCATCCAACTACCATCAATTCTGTTCACTAAACCATACTCCTTAGTACTCTATCTACCCTTTCTTTAAAGATCACCAGGGACAGCGACTCCAACTCCCCCCTGGGCAGCCTGTTCCAGTATTTCACCACTATTTCTGAAAAGAAATTTTTCCTAATATCCCACCCAAACCTCTGCTGGTGCAAATTGAAGCCCATTTGTCCTACTGCTGTTACCTGAGAGAACAGCCATATCCCTGCTTAATCTGGAAGGACTACCTGAATCACAGATCCTCTTATCTCATATGTTTTTCCAATACATTTCTGAAAACAAAAAATCATCTATGACTACTATCTCATAAATACATTTTTGACAGAAGCAAACATATAGTTTACACGAAGGATTTAAATGTGAGTAAGTTGAAGTGCCCCTAATTTACAGAGCAATCACAGTTACTTTATTAAATACATAATATATGAAAGAAGACATACCCTATCAAAGCCTGCATTAAGAAGGGGAAGAACAGAATTCTCTTCTTGATCAGCAGATCTGCAAGACAAAATGCTGGTCACACAATATGCAGGAACTAGATGGCACGAATTCAGCAGTTATCCAAATATAATGTACTATGAATGTTCTTGCATAAAATACACACATCAAATCATGATATTACAGAAGTTGATCTTCTGAGTGCCTGTCAAAGATGATACAGGCTTTAATATATACTTGCAGCTGTTACTTCGGCCAGAAAATAATTTCTACAGCAAATTTGATGGGTTTTGCACAGAGGTCCCTCTTCTCTTCACAGACAAACAGGGATGTTCCAATAAATAAATAGACAGATAGTTTAACAAAACAAAGGATATCTGATGATATCCTACAAGAAAGAAACTAAAATAATGCTATTAAGTGAAATGTGAAACAAGCTATAAGGTCTTGTTAATCTATTTTCTAATCTTGGCAGGAAAAGTTCTCCTGTCAACTCAATTTGCAAATGTTTTAATTGAACCAGGAAATTAACAAAATTAGAATGGATTTAGCAATATGTAGAAGTATTAATAATGATGGGAAACCACTCTTTTTCTAAGATATTTGATAAAAGATGTATTTAAGTCAGTAAGAATGCATTGAGTATGAATTACTCAATAAGGAATTCAGGACAATACAATACCAAGTTTAGTACCATCAGAAATAAGAACCACTCCATTACTGGTTACCTAATAACGACAGCATGTTATCTGATCTATTTCCTTTACAACACAATAAACAGCTTTCTATTCTTTCATTTTAAAACAAATGTATCAGTGTCTATTTTTTTTTTCAGTACACAAGCCACCTCATAACAATTATCTGAAGTCAATGTGATATATTAGTCTATATGAATGGAAGTAATTGAATACTTACATAGGCCATATACATCACTTAACCATTTCAGGTAAAAATAACTAACATTAAACTAATTCTTTAAGTTTTTAAACTTATGAGTTTATATCTTATCTATGAGATAGCTTCTATTATTAGCTAATTTTTATATTTCATTCTCACAGAATAAAACAAAAATATTTCACAACACAGAGTAAAACGTACGTGCGTGGAACCACAGCAAGTATTACAGTGTGTTCTGATGGCTTTGTGGCACGAATAGACCTAAGAAAACAACATTTTCTCAGTTACACCACATGCTTTCTCAGTGTTACACACAATGTCTTCACAGGCAATATAAATGAAAAACGGTACTGGAAGAGTCCAACGAGTTATGAAAACTCGACCAAGCGGTCCTCACTTAGACATTCAATTTCTTTTGGTATCAGCCTCCTCAGAATCTGCCATCTACAATACAGAGCAGTACAGAGACAACCGCTCCAAATGCTCTTCAAACCTAGTAAAAGTTTGTCCTTCTTACCTAGGTAAGGGCAGGGCAGGCTGCCCTGAACACAGGGGTTGACAAGATGCAATGTCTATACAATGCACTCTCAGTATCTGCTAGTTCAAAACTCAATTAAACAAGAATCTCCACCACCTTCTCCCACCTTCACAGCTGTCCTTTTACATACTGTAAAGTTTTCTTTGAAGTGTACAAAGTGTTCTTGGGGCACACAGGTAAGAAAAGAAAGTATAGCAAATACACTTCTCTATAAAGGACTACGACCGCCATGGTTAACAAAATATCACCACTTTATGTTACTGAGAAACTGAAAAAAAAACACAACCAAGAACACTCTATCTTTCACCAGTGAAATATATACTTTTTTCAAACATGTCACTCTCTCCTGAATAAAGAGTTGTCATATACATGTGTACTTCTTCCAGAAACACTTCCATAACCTTAAATATGTGAACTTCAAAATATTTGTCATAAACAACAGAAATTTCAATTCATGCAGGACTGAGAAATGTAGCATGCTGCATGGTAAAAGTGATTTTCCATTTCCACATGTACAGAAGAGTAATGTGAACTTTTGTGAAGAGCTCTCACTGACATGTGCCTGACGTAGTGGACAAACAATAGCATTAGTTTCAAGCCTTGCAACTTAAAATCTTTTTATAGCACTAACTCAGGAAAGGAGACTCAGGGAGAAGCAGATACAGAAAGCACAGAGTGATTGCACAACAGCTGTGGCTTATGCTCTGAATAATGCCCATGATTTGAAGAGAGAATTCTACAGGTCAAATGTCACCCTGGCCAAAAGCTTATTTTTCAAATTCTACTCCTCTTAAAGTGGGAAGAAAACCTCTTATCCTCAATGTCCAAATTTCCAATTTGTGCATTCTTCTTCTTCTTCTTTTTTTTTTTTTTTCTTATAATCAAGAGTATGGATTTTGTATAACATATTCCAGAATTCAAGAATAGCATAAGGCCCCTTAGTTACCTGCAGATATCTTCTGCATCAAAATATCTGGAGTTCCTGTGATCTATAACAATTATTTCCTGGTGCTTCTCAAGGAAACATTCAAGTGCTGATTCTGGAGTCCGGGCAATGTTGCATCCGTAACCAGCTCTGTCACAGGCCCACCAGAAGCCGTCACTTTGGTTGTCTTCTTTTGCGAAGATCAGCAAGACCTGCAGAGCATACAGAGCAACATCATCAGTTTAAACATACAGAATAGTTTTTGCTAACCACATGGCAAAAGTCTTAACAACCACTTCTACTATTTGAAAGATCAAGTGGAAATATTGGACTACGGATGGTAAAAGAGCTGTCACAGTGGATAACTTAATTAATAGAGTGGTTATCAACTATGTAAAACTGATACTTACTGCTTTTGAATAAGCTGTGATTGTTCTGGATGTAAGCATGTTGGCAGGTGACAGGTTACCTTGCTGTGCTTGTTCTTAGAGCATCATGGCTTCAGGAACACTATGACTATTCAGGCAGTTTTGACACACAGATGCCTATCTAAACAGCTGCCAGACTCAGCGAGTAGATGTTCAAACATCATTCCCATTTTCAGGTTGTTGGAGTTACACACATTTCAAATTGTAAGGAACTTCCTCAAATGTAACTGCCTTTTTCTTTCAAAACAGAAAAGAACAATAGACAAACAGGTATGGACAGGGTTGGGTAGTAGGAAAATAATGATTCAGACATCGCAGCTGATCACTAACCATGTCACTCCATGTGACAGATTAATAAAAACATCAAATTAATGAAAAACTGCTGTGAAAAAGAAAGGCTTTAAGAAGTCAAAAGTTCAACTATAGGTATTCACATTGCACAAAAAGGCAGAAGACTGAGGGTAATCTATATATAAAGCAAAATCCTGTTCATTTTACAAACAAAAGTAACCCCCAACTTCACTGAAACAATCTGAGCAAAATTTTCCAAAAATGCATACAAGGAAGGTTAATAACCTTTCATCTGTGATGTTGTATGTCTGTGATATCATGACATGAAATTCAACACCATCAGCCTAGAAGCCAGACAGTACGACTATACCCTTTCTTTTATTCTGAGCATCTGGAATGGTGAATTCTAAACAATTAGCAGAACCATTACTGTTACTGAGGCAGGACTATCATTCAAGATTTCATTAAAAAGTAGTAAAAAATTATATGTTTGGAACTTATTCATCTGAGAGTTTTAATTTATTACTAAGGATACGCTGGGTTACTGTCACTCACATCCAAGGTAGCAACTGTCACTCTACCTAATCCACAATCTTTTCCAATCAAACATTCAAAAGCAGTTACATGGTTCTGCTGCAGACCTTTGCATATGCTCTGGTAAAGTAGCTACTCCGATTCAATCCTGTCTGGCTCCAGCTGCTGCTGGAGAACAGGTTTTTTTGTTGAACATGTTTTGATATCTTTCTTCTCTCAACATTTCCTATTTGGAAATACAGGACTGCAAAATTCAGCCATTTTCCAGATGCAAAATACTGGAGTTTAGTTAAACCACCTGATCCCCCACTGGAAACTAAATATCAGTGTGTGAATCATTCAGAGAATATTAACTTTAAAAGGTACAATTAAAGCATTACTACCATGTCTGCTCATTAAAATTTGTATGAAGCTTACTGTAAAGAATGAAAACACAGCAAAACTTGAACTATGCAAGTTAGTTGCAAGCTAATGCTCCCAAAATCAAAATGAAAATACAGCAATCTGTGTAAATCAGACTGATAGTATGACAGGAAATTGAATTTAATCTGTATTTCTTGATGGAAAACATTTATCTGTTTTGGTATATGGTTTGTTAGCCTTGCTGTGAATAGACCTTTTTTATCCAGTGCTGCTTTGATATAGGAATACTATAGACTCCTCCTGCTGAGATTTTTTTTTTTTTTGTAATCTACTGGAACTCCTACCACATTTTTCTGAATTTGTTTTGCACAGCTACTGCATGTCTTGTTCCCAGTTTATCATGCAAATACAGAAAACGGACAGAGATCTGCTTTGAAAATCTCAAAATACAGCCCAGTGAGCACAGGTGCATATACACCAGAAGGAAACAATGAGGAAATCAGAAATAGAACTTAAGAAGTCATAAAACATGATATCCAAATCTTTTTTATGCCCCTGTGGTATCCTAGTGAAATTATTTTAATAGTGTCTTTAATATAGCCAGGGGGATACTGTGTGAAACCTTAAATGGGCAGGACAAACAATTAGGTGCTGGGCATCATCAACACTTTGGCTGCTGCTCAAGAGGGAAGATCATCGTGATCAGAACAGACATGGAGTCCAGCATCAACACTGTGAAAGTGATGATGACCAATGACTGTCATAGAGGGGAGAAAATGCAGTATTTGAAGGGGGGACAGGATTAGGCAGTAAAACAAAGTGAGCAAATGATGACAGGTGGCAGACAAACTCTACAGCAGTTCTCTGGAAGGAAGCAAGAGGTATTTGCTTAGACCAAACAAGAAAGAAATGCAGTTATTAATATAGAAGACAGGGACTATGGGAAAAAATAAAGCATTTCAGTTTGTGCATTAAAGCCATGAGTGCAGAAAAGCACCACAGTAACTGCAGGAAACAACCACATTCACTTCCAGTATATGAAATTCTGTGAGGAGATGATGGCAAACTTCAACTCAAATGCCAATAAAAGCTTTAGGAGTGGTAATTACTATAATTTCTGTGCCTTCCTCACCTTCCACTCCTTCCCACTCCGAACTGTTAACTCATTGGTCATTAGGGAAACTACAGCTCATACATGGTTTCACTCTAATACGACATAAAGATAACAGAACAAGAGTTTTTCCATTAGTCATTGCTTTAAAAGACATTCAGATTGTATGTTGAAACATAACATAGTCTGACCTTCTGTCTCTGCCCTTTCTTTAACAATTATTAAGGTTGCAGATGTAAATTGGTTTCCTGTTTTGCAACGTTGTCCCCACTAGTTGATAACAAGTTTCTACCTATAGTCTGATCTCAGAAGCTAAGCTCTCATTAATCATCAGCTGAAAAGATTCCCATTCAATCCATTTGATTTCATGTGAAGGCATTTGATGCAAGTCAACTCTTAGGCCACTATGGAATTATCTTCTCTATCAAAAGCATTAAACCCAACAGAAGTTCCTGATCACATCCACTGATTTTTTCCTGACAATCACTGAGCCTGTTTTCTCCTAATCTTTAAATCACATAGGGCACTGACTTAAAAATCCTATAGGAGGTCCCATATACAAACATCTGTCAGCCCTAGTTCTGCAAATGAGTACCATATTTCTTTTTTATATGCACTAGACTTTAACACATCTTTCTTTCATGTTGCTGGGGGAAGCAGCACATTTATAATGAGGCTGCTTTGAATGTAATGCCCCTATTTTATGATGTTGTTCCATGACATCAGAAGCAGATGTTGGTGCTACGGCAGTAGAGGTCGAACCTTCCTGCCAGTATTCCTTTCCATTTCGCTGCCATGTGACAGATGGCAGCAGAGGGGCACTCTGACAAAACTTTACTGACGTTCAAGTGTGTATGAAACAAAGGCGAGTCACTGAATTCTTCCATGCAGAAAAAAACCGACATTTATTGACCCACTGACATCCATTGATGCTTGCTGAGCATATAAGGAGATTGAAAGGTGGATTTGGGCACAGTGAGGCAGTGAGGGGTGTGTTTCAGCAGTGGTGACAGTGACATGAAAGGCAAGCCATGTTTTGGACAGCCATGCACAGCATTCACACCACAAAATGAAGAGCATTTTGATCAGCTTATCTGTGTGAACTGGCAGATTCTGACCTGGGAACTGTGCAGAGAGCTGAATATCAGCTTCAGTGTGTTGGAAACAACGGTGGCAATGTTAGAATATGGCTAAGTTTGTGCCAGGTAGGCTCCACTAATGCTCACACAGGAAAAGAACAAACATCATATGCAAGTTTTTTCAGGACCTACTGAATCAATACAAGGCTGAAGGTGACAGTCTCTTGGACTGCATCATTACTGGTGATGAGATGTGGTGTTACCACTACAAGACAGGGTCAAAATGGCAGTCCATGGAGTAGCAACATGGGAATTCCCCACTGCAGAAAAAGTTCAAGACATAGCCCTCAGCAAGTAAAGTGATGTGCACTGTCTTTTGGAATAGAAAAGGGGTGATACTTTTGGATTTCCTGGAACCCAGACAAACCATCAACTCTGACTGCTACATCAAAATGCTGTCTAAGCAGAAATCTGAACTTCCAGAGTAATGCCAGAGAAGAAGACAACCTTTCTCTTGCAACACAATAATGCCAGGCCCCATACATGAAGACCATGGAGCACACTGACACTTTGGCTGGACTGTCCTACTGCATCTACTGTACAGTCCAGATTTGGTGCTTTCTGACTGCTATTGGTAAAGCTGGTAAAGGATGAACTGCGTAGTCAACATTTTCCTACCAACAAAGCCACCACAGCAACTGTGAAACAGTGGGTCACTTTCACTGGTGTATGAAGTGCACCAGTGCACAATTGCAGCCTGCAGGCTCTTTTTCAATTAAAATGCACAGCCAATGGTGGTGAATGTCCATGAAAAATAGTGTTTTGTAGCTTAGAATTTGCTCTATCAAATAGTGTTATTGTGCTCTTTGTTTTATTTTCCATGGAAACCAATAGGAGGCATTACTTTCAGAGTGACTTATGTATGTACATTTTTCTCAGTCACTTCTAAGGTCTCACAACCAAAATAAGGCAATTTGTAAGCGCTGGTACAAAATTGGGTCAGACACATAAGCTGCATGCTGGGAGGGCATTTGGAGGGTAAAAGCTGGTACAAACCAAAACAGATTTGTCCTCTAACACAGATGGTCATAAAATCTGAGGTGAAATCTATTAAATGGTTTATGGCAAGTCATAGCCATAACAAAGGTCACCTCCCAGACAGGAAAACACAACCCATTTGCCAGCTGGCATAGGTCTGGTGCCAAACAACAGTTCAAAACATGCACAAGCATACAGTGAACACTGCTAAGAAAAGCCCTGGTGACAATTGTTTTAATAAAGTGTATTATCTTATTAGACAATTAAGAACATGATTAAGCACCACATAAAGATATTTAAAATGGGATAGTTGGTAGCTCTTTGCATGTCACAGAGAAATACATACCTCAATCATCAAGACAGAATAAAAGATTAGCACACATTATTCAAATGAATAGGTATGTGCCATCCTTGTCAAATAAGCTGAGGTCATGTCACTTGTTCCATAAGGGAACTGAGTTTACAGAATGTATTTTTCTTCTAGTGCAATTAATTTAGAGTATGTCATAGTTTTTACAAAATACTCTTCAGATACAAGTTTTACTTAAGGCCTGATTTCAGCTTTTCAGTACCTAAAGAGAGGCTATGAACAGGAGGGAAGTCAGTTCTTTGAAAGGGTAAGTAACAACAGGACAAGGGGAAATGGTTTTAAGTTGAAGGAGGGAAGATTTAGGTTGGATATCAGGAGAAGTTCTTTATCAAAAGAGTGGTGAGGTGCTGGAACAGGCTGCCCAGAGAGGTTGTGGATGCCCCATCCCTGAGGTGTTCAAGGTCAGGCTGGATGGGGCCCTGGGCAGCCTGGTCTAGTGTTAGATATGGAGGTTGATGACCCTGCATGTGTCAGGGGGGTTGGAGATTCATGATCCTTGAGGTCCCTTCCAACCCTGGCCATTCTGTGATTTCTGTAATTTCTGTAGCACCACAATTTGTCGCTTCACTAATAAAGGGACAAAATAACACCCACAGCTAACAAAATACAAAGATGAATATCAAGAAAGTTTCCAGAACAATTTCACTTCTCACATGAAGAACTATTACATGATTAAACTGCACAATAACAGCAAATACAGATAGTATATTTTTGCAAATCCAATTTCTACGAATAAAGTAAAATGTTGCCATAGACAATGAGTACTCTTATTTGAGTATTATCTTGAGCATCTTACTGCAGATTATCACAGTCTACTCAGCATTTTTCCATAAGAAGTTCCACATATTTATGTTCAGCGTACTTGCTAAAATGAAGATTGGTCTACTGCTGTTAAGACTGAATTATACTTATTATTATCATATTTAATACATAAAGAAAAATGTAAGGCTTTATGGCCTCCGGAACAGCATAGCATGTCTTCCATGTCTAGGTTTTTCTACTTGTAGGCAAGCATGGCAAGAATAAAAATAAACATAGAAAGAGTGGCTGCTAAATCTCTCTGCAATTTGCAGTTAACTGACCAAGATAAAAAGTTACTTCTAACAGACACTGCTTCACAGAAGCACTATTAAAGGTTACACTATATGTTAAAAATAATATTTTTGGCATCCCTCTGTTTACAGGCAGAGGTACAAATTTTACAGAAACAGTAGTGAGCATGGGTAGAGCTGCTGCTTATGAAAAAAAATTCAATGCTCTTGTTGGAACACATGTGACTTCTTGCATCTGTGACCTGTAAAAGCACAGTTCTTTTTTCTGCTGCACAAAACCCAGAAAAACTTGCCTGGTGCCTAACCTGTATCATACTGCTTTCTGCTGTGGCAAATCAGAACTCAGCAGTTCTGACATTCAGAAGCAGTTGTTTTCCTTGCTGGTGCACAGGCACACTCCTACTGACAGGACACAAAATAAACAATTTGATGTTAATGGCAATGTGAGCACCTTCTTTACCACGTTAATTTACCCACAGGTCTCTTCTCAAGCACTCAGACAAACTGAAACACCAATTATCCAACTCACAGTCCCTGCAGAAGTAAAATGAAAACATTATGCATACCAAGAGGGTTATGCCTTAATTTTTTCACCCATTAGCACTGAATTGATTGTATCAAAAAACAGAGAACATCTTACCTGAATTGGATCTTGTGTCAGTCTCATAGGCCCAATTTGTACCTCTGTAGCTGAAGCCTGCTAAGTAAGAGTAATAGAGATTTTTTTCCACTCCACTTCTCGACAAGATAGCATTTTGCAAGCAAGAGTGAAAGAGCAAGCATAGCCAGTAAGACTCTCAGAGGAAAGCCACATGACATGCAGCCTTTATTCAGCTGCTTGAAGCGTAGTTTTGATAACACATAACCACGCTCACAATTTTGTTTCATTTACTTCTAAGTTAAACATTGTAGGGCTTAACACAGAAAAATTCTAACCACCATCTTCCTCCTTCCCCAGAGCACTTCGATTACAAAGGACTTTTATTTTGTTTAAGACTATGGAAAACTATTATTTTTCTGGCCAAATATTGCCTTATTTGTTTGAATGCAGTACACACCTTCAAGATCTTGTCATGTATACTGAGAGTAATATTTTAATATGTTTGGTTAGAAAAATAGTGAGTTTTCAGACAAGATAGTTTGTTTGGATTATAGTTCTAAAGATGTTTTCCAGAAATGTAGCCTTTAATTTACAGGGGGAAAAAAGAAACAAACAACATCAATATCCCTAATCAGGGTGTTTTCAGAAGACTTGAGAGCACATCACAGTTTAAAACTACAGCAACAAAATCAGCAAACATTGGCTTTCAATGCTTTGTTGTCTTATTTCCTAATAGCTGGACTACCTTCATGCATTTTGTGTACTGATACATTTCAATATAGTACTCCTGTAATGCTGATTTGCTTCATTTTAGATTAGTTACAGACTGTTCTCAAGCAACTGAACAATGTCTATGTCCTCCCACAGATGTATGTACTTAAAAAAGTCTTTGAACCCTCTGAATGTTGCTCTCCTCACGCTACAGAGGATTACTAACAAGTTAGCAATATTTGAGGGGGCAGGTTCACTGCCTTCCTGATACCAATTACTCCATGTGCTTGGGGTAGGTAGTTCAAGCAACTGCCATGCAGGTCAGGTGTTTCAACAAAGCCCTAACTGCAGGCATATTTCCAGAACTTTCCTTGACTCTCAGGAATCCTGGATTCTTATTTCTGCACCACTTTGCTGTGCACTGCTTGTTAGGTCAAGCCTTTTACTTGGGTATTACCTTATCCTCAAATATAGTATTTTTTCAAAGGACTTTACATAAATATTCAACATGGATGAAGTTACTAGTATTTGGTTTTATTCCTTGGAGAACACACCAGTGTTGCAGGTATTAGCAGCCTTGCCTTGCACTTGAGACAGTGGACTTATGCACAGTGACAAATGACATGTTGGATTTTCATGCATCCCTAAGCATTGATTCTTTTGAGTCCCATGTATGCCAGAAGGTAGTAGCAGGCAGTTCTCCAGAATATTAAACCACAAAGCCTTGCCATTGTATTCCACAGCAAAAACTGCCTCCAATATAAGAATAGCTAACCTTGCCACACATGACAGCTTCACATCCCACTTGATCTCCTGCCATGTTGGAAGGGAACATCACACAAGGAGAGATATTAGAATAGAAATGGAAGTTAGCACTGATCATAAGTCGTGAAGTAATTAATAAAGCTGAGGAAACAAAGTTCTCTCAAAGCTCCTAACTCCTCTCTCCTCACAAACAGAAAGACAAAAATCAGAAAAAAGTGCGCTCATATTACAGTACGTTATTTAAGAAACTAAAATATTTTTAAAATTGTGAATCATTTGGATTTAAAGAAATGTTCTTAAGTTGTCTCATTTGTAGAATTGATAGTAAGGGGAACACTCAACAGATACATAACACAGGCTTTGGTCTGTATCAGTCCAAAAGCTTATTTTTAAAATGCACATTTGAAAAAAAACACATTGATAAGAGCCTATCATTCTTCATAAGGTACACTTAGGACATCAATAACCATTTTATGATTCGTTTAGCAGTGCCACTATGGAAGTGACATTCTAAATAAGCGATCTCTTCTTTGCTACCACTTTGCTACCATTTCAGAGTGCATTCAGTTTTCATTTCTTAGTTTTGTCCAAGATGAAATAAATATGCCTAAAAAACAGATCTCCACTGTCAACTCCATCAGATTCTTTTCAGAGATTTCTTCACTTATCTTAGCCCAGATATTCAAAAAATAAAACAAAAATTCACATAACTGTGACTAGGAGATTCTCTTTGTGCTGCTTTCACGTCAGAAAATACTTGAATGGAAGGACCTGAAAATCAGATCCTGTCTTTTTTTTTCTTCCCCCAAGTATTTGAGAGCAATCCTGTCTCTGCTGGCAATAGGAAAACTTCATGAGGATTAGAAAAATCTGAGAGTCACAACATGGGTAAGCTTGTCACAGTCCTGCTCTGCAGAGATATGATTTACTTACAGTCACAGCCACATACTGGGATGTAGAAACGGTGCTGCTCTTCCTGAAAGACTGACATTCTGAAAGAATGACCTTTAGGCCATTCTTTATACAGCATATGGAAATAAGAGGGGCACCCTCAAATTAAGGCTGATAACAGGGCTGAACATGGGAAGGATTAATAAACCATCTCACTGGATACAACAAGGAGTATGTTCAAAGCCTTCCTTCATGGACTTGGAGCTCTGAGTTTCATTTTACTAACTGAATCAATCCCCTAGATTTGTATGCCTAAATTGCATTTGGTACAAACAAGTCTCATTTTTCTTTCAAAACGCTGCTAGAAGAGGCACAAGTGCCTCGGCTTCAAAAAAGTAGTATGGATTTCTTTTTGGCTTGAAAGAACTAATTTCAAATCTTCCTAACTCCCAGAAAAGTAAGATGATGTGGATGCTGCATATTAATGATACCATGACCATACCTCTGCTCATTTCCTGGCTCAAGTGAACATCTCATTGCTGATGATTTCCAATTAAAATAAATCTCCCATTATTTTATTGACTGGCAGGAAGGACTGCTAATAGCCTTGCATCCTAACTCAATTAGTACAGTATTTCATGACAAACTTTTCTGGTAAAACATGCAGAGCTTGTTTCCAAAGAGGTCAGTGAGAAAATTCCTGTTTTCATAGTGCAGAGGAACAGATACCATAAATAAACTGACCATCTGGGGATAACAGAGAGCTTAAAAACTGTGAAGAAATTTTTTGTTTTAACATTTTAAACTGTCTAACATTATTTCCAGTTTCATTGTAACCTCCAGAGGAATCAGCTACTAATCAAAGAATTAAAGACAAAGTAAATGGTATTTTCTTAAATCCTTTTTTTTTTTATATAAGTCGGTGATTATCAATTACCTTCCTTTCAAAGCAGTACTTTAAACAAAATGGAATCACCACTTAATAATTAAGTTCTACTCTTTTTAATCACTAATACAAAAAGCTTTTCTCTTCATATGACTGAATACTTAAGGCCCCTGCAGTTTATGAATCATCAATAATTAATAGCACAACTATTGTAAACATGGTGACTAATTAGCACAACAAAATCTTCTTGAATAACTCTTCGTTGTTCCAGAGAAACAACAGCAGCTGGAAACAGCAAAATGGGATAGCACAGTCTTCTGGATAGGCACAGGAAAAACATGTCTGACAGAGATCTCCCTTTTTCCCTGATCAAGAACTGGCTCTGAAAAAAATTACAATCACGTGTGACCTCCATATTGGACCTCTGACTTTCCATTCTCTTGATGGCTTGAATTCCCTTCTGAGACATAGAGCTCACAGCTTTTCTAAAACATCCCCAGCTTGCAGCTGTCAACAACCAGAGTGAACAGGTCCTCTTCCATTGTTGAGCAATGTTATGTGCCTCTCTTCTTTCCCTTCTTTACACTGTCTCGTGTTGTTTGGCAGAACAATACTACAAACTTTCTTCTCTTTCTCTTTTTTCTTTCTTTTTTTTCTTCTTTCTCTCCTTCTTTCCTGCATTTCTTCTTTCTTTCCTTCTTTCTTTCTGTCTTTGAAATAATTTCTTGTTCATTCACTGATGTTCTTGTGTAATTTCCTGAGCTCAGTCTTTCTATGCTTAGGGTCTCTCACATGCTTCTTTTGTTACAGGGAATATCTTTCTTGTTCTGTTTGGCAATTTACATGTGTTGAAATAAGAACACATTCACAAAATAAAAATGAAGTGTTTTCAGAAAGATGCCACCTCAGACTCAGTAAGACCCTCAATCACAATCTGCCAGTGGCTGTGAGAATAAACAGAACAGATCACTATCAGCTCCTTCCAGGACTCCTGCTGCTGAAGATCTGGTCCTGAGCTAGATGGTCTTTGGCATTTTGAGATCTGGTCCTGGCTGGATGGCTTTCCCAGACACCATTCCTCCCTGATTCATTCATTTAATCAGTTGTCTCAGATAATTTTCTCCTCTCACCAACACAGCTATTCACCCAGCAGAGAGCTAGCTCTGTTGTAATGTACTCCTCAATAATTCAGAATGCTCCCATCTGACTGTTTATTCATCCTTTTCTGCAGCTTCCAGTTGATCTGTGGTTTTGCTTTCCCTGCTGCTCAGGGCCTGGATTTCCTTGGTTCCCACTAAAGGGCTGTAAAACCACTGCTCTCTTCAATGCCAGCCAGCTGCCATCTTCCCAGAGTCCAGAAGAGCATTGAACATTTGGATAGCTAAGGTTCATGTAGAATTATGTTACTTTGTTAATTGAAAATAATGATCAAATGCACATACTGTTTAGAAAAAATAAAGTCTTGTTGTTGATTTAGCCACTGCAAACTGCAGGCATCCATCCCTAAGAGAAGCCTAACCCCTCAGTATGTCATGAGCATCTTTTACAGTGCTTAACAGCAGATACGCAGGAACTAGTAAATAAAAATTAAAAGCATAGAGGACAATGGGAAATGGTTTCAAACTTAAAGATGGTAGATTTCAATTGGATATAAGGAAAAAGTCTTTTACAGTGAGAGTGGTGAGGCACTGGAACAGGCTGCCCAGAGAGGTGGTAGATGCCACATCTCAGGAGGCATTCAAGGCCAGCCTGGACCATGCTCTGAGCAACATATGTGGATGTCCCTGTGTTCATTGCAGGGGAACTAGAATTGGACTAGGTGATCTTTAAAGGT